TGCGAAAACCTGTTGGTGTTGCCGGGCTCTCACCCGAAGAGCCATCAAGTTTCCTTGCTTGGGGACACAAAGGCCAGCCATCTAGTGTGACCTTGCCCGACGTGCCAATGTCGGTGCAAGGAGTCACTGGAATGGCACAGCTTCCGGTTGCTCTGTTCACACACCGGCTTGGACAGAAATAATACTACATTTTTTCATGGTTTTCTCAACAATTTTCAGTGTCTGCAAATCTCCAGTTACATTAATTCTGGACAAACCTACCGTGTCGTAACGTATCCAATAAGTCTTTGTTCAGGTTGACTTCTGATTTTGATAACTTTGGTTTTTGCCAAGCCCACTGATCCAGCCCCCGCGGATCCAACCCTACAAACGAGCATATTGAATCATACGATGCTTGGACTTGTGAACTTTGCCTTTCAGCTTACTGCCGTCAGGCGTGCGAACGGAAGCATAATCTTTGTTCTCCCTGCTGATTTCCTCATCATGAATCCAAAGTTCGCCTCCCTCGAAGTCACCCAAACACATAGTGTTGTTCTTGTGTTCACGATGATTGTGAGCATCTTTGCGCACCTTGACGCCGGACCCGTGATTAATGCACAGTGAAGAGCTGGGGCCCTTGGCACCATGATGTTTCAGATACTCATTGAGGAACTTCATTAGCTCCTTATTTTGGTGACTGCGGTTAGTGATGCCTTGCATCCCGCCGTGCGAGAAGGCTCCGAGCACAACATACTCGGACTTCTTAGAGGACTTTGGGTCCTTGGCGATGATAGACCTCTGCTTCTTAGAGGCCTTGAAAGCTACCTTGTTTAACAAGGAGTAACATGATGCATGTGAGAAGTCGCCAGACTCTCGAAGCTTCTTTGCGATAGCCTCGGATGATTCTTCCGGCGCTGGCCTTCCGGCCGCGGAGGGGCTTTCAATGATCTGCGTCTTACCAGGACCGGACGAGGCCCGACGCGCAGGGACGCTGATGTTTTCATGCCAGGACTTCAAGTACGGCACGTTATCTTTAACGTCCATATAGACCTTCTTCCCTTCGGGAGTCTTAAGGTACGGTCGTGAATTAGCCCTCCAGATGAAATCGAATCCCTCTTCCATGCATCGCTGTCCTATTGAAAGGACAGATGGGGTATCAGGAAGAACATATGGTTTGACCTCAATCCCAATGGAGTCAACAGAAACATCACACTGTTCTGAAGCGGAGTTTGGCCCATTTGCAGTCATCATTTGAATGGGCGCAGGTGACTCGTAGGCCTTCGCCTGCCCAAGCTCCCGCTGGGCGATGAGATCTTGCGCACTGCCAGTGTCAGCAATCCATTCAATGCACAGACACGGTGATTTGCTGCTGGCGGGTGCGGCACAGTTGAACTTCAAACCAATCGGAATGCAATGCTTGCATCCAAACTCAGTGTTGCACTTGAACTTACACTGCGGTCTACAGCCCTTGACCTCATCACTGACAACAGCTTGCAACATCTTAGCGGTTACCTGAGCTTCCTTCACGGAATCAGGATCGGCTTTCCAATGGCTGTTGGCGGGATATACTTGGCTATACTCCCTTGGCTTATTGCGATCATCGAGGGGGTAGAGGCCATTCCCTTTCGGAATTTGGTACGTGAAACTTTCAGTAGTGTCATTGAATGACACTGCGGCCAGTGCGACATGATAGTGCGGGGTGCAAACATCGACATTGCTCAACATATCCTTCCGGAACGTGAATGCATCGGCTTGGGCTGCTGAGCCAGCCAACATTGCTCCCAATAAGCAAACTGCAGCGGGAACGGAGGGCGCACCACCCTTGCGACCTGAGCCACGCGAACCCTTCGAGCCTTGGCTAGACTTACTTGATTTTCGGCTGCCGCTCTTTGAAGAGCTCTTGGAGCTAGATCTGGAGCCTTTGCGGCCCTTACCACTTTTCTTCTCTTTCTTCTTGTGCTTCTTTTCCTTCTTCTCGCCGCTGCTCGCTCGTGCACCTGAGCTGCCCGGGGCGGCTGCAGCAGGTTGGCCGTTGTGGAGGAAGTTACACTTGTCTCCACGATTGCAAACTCCTTGCTTAAAGAACTTGCATTCCTGCTTTTTGCCTTTACCTTTCCCTCCCGGGCTAGGGGTTCTAGTAGGCGTACGACCTCCGGCAGGAGTGTGAGAACGCCCCCTAGGTTGTTGGTGCTTGTACGGGCAATTGTCTCTCTTGCAACTTCCGGTCTTGACCCAATCAACGCAATACCCTTTGGGAATACGCTTAGGGGCCGGTGCGGCAGCAGGCGCAGTAGGTACACCCGTTTGCCGAGCAATGCGCTCGCGGTTCTTCTGCAATCGCTTGCGTTTCAGATGATTAGCAACCGCGTTATACAGGAACTGATAGGACCTTTGCTCGCTACCTTCCAGTGCGCGTTCATAGACCTGGATGTCGTGATCGATATCCTTGCACTTCTTCACCTGTCTATGGAACAGGGGTTCAAGCACGCTGTTGTCTGGAGGATTGGGAATCCCTGATAGCACCGTATCCCAATTTCTAATGAAGGTGGTGAGGTTTTCGTTGACCATGATGCAATTCATCAGGTCCTCCATGTCATACACAGAGCCATGGAGTGCATTGGTAGCAAAGTGGTTGTGAAGACGACACAGCAACTGTCTTCCTCTCACCAGCCTTCCGGCGTGAGCTTCGGTCTCCTTGAAGGTATCAGTCTGCCTAGCGAAATCACCCTCAAGGATATTGGTGAGCCCAGAAAGGATCTTGGCATCCAAGGTGCTAAACCCCTCCGGGTCGCGAAGCTCTTTCTCGTCGGCGTCCTTCTCCCAGACCTTACTGAGCCAGGCATGCGCCTTGTCAGGCGAATCCGATGCAGCGACAATGGCTTCACGGACCCTTATGCGCCAGTTTCTATACTGTTCAGGCTGGGGAAACTTGGGAAACACGACTTTCTCAGCCTCTTTAACCTTGGGTTTGGTACTCGAGGAACTCTTTTCTTCATCATCATCCTCTTTATCAGACTTCTTAGATTTCACCATCTTCTTGAGCATCTTCAGAAGAATCTTGTTGTCGATGGAAGAAGACGATGAATCTGACGACTCATCTTTCTTGTGCTTTTTGGATTTCTTGCTCTTTTTCTCCTTCTTACCGCTCTTTTCAGGCGCTTCAAGTGGTTCGCCAGGAGGAGTATGGATCGGAAAGGGTCCTAGACCAGGAGGCCCGGCCTGTTCCGGTTCATTGCCCAATGGGTCAGCTTTGGCTTCCGCCAAGCGTGTTCTTAGCTCGGCATTGTCCTTTTGCAGCATCTCCATGTTGAGGGCTTGAATCCTCATCATCTCTTGCATCTCACCTTTGAGGCGAGAGAGCTCGTTGTCACGAGCTGACACGTCGGCTTGATTAGCCTGCAACCTTCGATTAGCCTCGGTTTCCACCTGGGCGACAACATTCGCAGCTGTCTGTTCAGCGGATAGGAGGCGCTGCCTTAGCTGCTCAGCTTCAGCAGCGGCTGTTTCAGCCTCAATTTGGTACTGGGCTACGGCCTGCCGACCAGCATGGATGTTTTGATTAGCCTGTTCTTCAAAGGCTCTGGCTTTTGACTGCAACTGTGCATGCTCAAGCCTCAGCTGAGCGACTTGACTCATGGCACCTGTTTCCAAAGCGAGAATTTGCTCCCTGTTTTCGCTTTGGATGTTGCGAACGGCTTCAGCGTGTCTTGCATTTGCTGTATCCATAATCAGTGCAGGATCCGCACTGATCAGAACGTTTTGCTGATGCTGATACAACTGATTCACGACAGTTGGAACGGAGGTGTGCGATGGAGGCACCGGAGAATAGCCTACGACTGTGGGTGAGGGCTGATGTGTCAGCGACGCTCGTGATGGCACGTATGCTGGTTGAGGTCCAAGGGACCCAACATGCGAACGTAGCGTCTGCTCAGTGAGAGCTACCCGACCCTCCCGGGCGGTGACAACCGGAAGCTCTGCGCCCAGATTCGATCTCGAGCGGGCGGACTCCGTATCGTCATCACCTAGTTCGGAGATAGGCACACCTGCAGGATTTGTGGGAGCTGTGGTGTCCATTGCACTACGAAGAGCTATACAAGCTACGGCTGATAACCTATTGTTAACAGCGGGACGCACGAATCCTTTTTGTACTTGAGCCACGAGGTAGCGTAGGTAAGACATGATGACTAGCATACAAAGAGAATAAAAACAGAGTTTCCGAAAGTTAGGGGTACCTGATTTTGGGGTTCTGACAATAAGGATCCTACTACTTCAGGTACTATATTAGGGTCCCCTAATATTCGGAAAACCCCACATAAATTGCTGTGCAGTCCGAGGGCTCTAGTTTCCCTAGGGATCAATGTAGTTCACGTAGGTGTAACTATATAGGGACGCTTTAGTACATACTACACAAGACTAACCCAAAACCCAAAACCCTAAACCGACTAACCCAAAATAGCCCTGCTGGGGGACTCGGTGGTCTCTTCCTCACTGCTCTGCTCGAATTGCGGCAGGCATTAGATTCAGAGGGGAAAAGGAGGGACCCTTAATGGGGACCCGTACCCTATAATGGGCTGTATAATGGGTATATAATAGCTATATTCTATATTAAGGGTATATACCTAGGGGTCCTTATTAAGGGTCCCTCCTTTTCCTCTTTGATAGATGAGAAAGACAGAAGGGCTCGGGCTCGGAAATCATAAATTCCTAGACCCAAGGGTATCCTAGTAATAAACAAGGTGCCCCTTTTGGGTTTGAAGGGGCTTATCAGGGAATCTGAACCCTAAAAAAGGGAACAAGGGCCTACTCTGGGTCCTCGTACACTCCCTGCCCCAAGGAGAGAGAAAGGCAACACGTTCGTATATACGGGTCGAATGCGCGTTTGAGCAGTGCAGTTAGGCTAGCTTTCTGATGCCTCCTCTGGAGTATGCGAGAGTCCTGGTGAATCCGAATTCATGAACCCTAAACCCCATATCCCATATCAGTATATCATAAACCCTAAACCCAAGACTCGAAGCGACGGCCTCAGCTGAGATCATCACTCCGAGGTCGAGAATCTGGGGCTGATGGGTGTCGAAATTCATGGACCCAGACAGAGCACCCAAACATGAACTCCCAAAGGGGTTGGGGTTTAGGGTTCGGGCTTGAAGGGCATAACGTCTTAAAGGAAATACAGAACCCTACACTTGCTAGAAGGGAAAGGTTTCCGCAGTTTATGTTTAGGTGTGGCTGGGGCCCTAAGAACGGTGCTGCTGGAGACGGCATTGCACAGGGGTCGTATCAAGAAGGGAAGAGACGTCTACAAACAAAGGCCACTAAGCCCTTACTAAATCATGCTCGACATGCTTGTCGGATATTCTCGAAAAGTGTTGAAGGAAGAGCTAGCTGCCCAAAGGGTGCACTCTAGGCATCACTACTTTCACGCTTCTCTTTCCAGGCCCGAGGCTTGAAGGACTCTGGGTCTGTCTTTAAAGCTCACCAGAAGGCTCTATTGTTCTGTGCCTGGACCCCAAAAGTATGTAGAGTAATAGCCTTTTAGAGGTTTAGGGCAATTATTTTGTCTACTTTGGGGGGTCTAGGTAGGGCTTATAACAAGAAACAGGGTGTGGCGGCTTTCTGTCCTAGGTATGACTTGCTGGAGCCCAGCATGCATGTAAACCTTCACCAGGACCCGACTTGAAAGTTGTTGCCTTAACCCATAGGGACTCAAAAATGCACATAAGCATAAGCCTTCTATAGGGATATCCCTACCTGATTGGGCTTCATTATAAGGGGATGTATACGGGATATCCCTATCCTTGTTTTTGCTTATGTGCTTTTTTGGGGCCCGAACCCAGCCCGAAACCCTGCGTTCCAGATCCGTGGATCCTCATTGAGCACGTTCACCTATGACCCCAAGAGAACAAACAAAGACAAAGCCTCTTGAATCCTGAAAGCAATGACCTCTTCAATGCCCTAAACCCTCTGCCGCATGCCAGGTAAACGTCGGAAAACTCTGACCACGAGAGCCATTACCCTGAAATGCCGAGACCATTAAAGCCCAAACGCCCAAAGCCTGAAACACCACAAACAAAATCACGCAACAAAGAAGTACAGCTCAGAAACACAAAACTAACATGACCAGCTTAAAAGCCCGCAAAAAGCCCACAACAAAGAACTTAAACAACACAAAAAACCGTCAGCCGCAAATAAGTTCTATAAAAAACCGCTCTCGGCCTTGAGCTTGCAGGGTGCAGGGTCTTTCCGGCGCGCCTTTGTTAGTATAAGGGTTCCTCGAAGATGTGCTGAAAAGATTAACGGTTACTACGGGTGGGGGGGTGTTTAAGGGTTACCATGGAGCCGCCGTAAGGCTTACGATAGCAGCATCGATTCGGTCTTGCGCGCAAGGTTTTGTTTAGTATAGGGGTCTGAATACGTAGAATGGGGTTTTGGGATACATCATCCCATCGACATCAATTCAGAAACCCTGAGGAACTTCACTTCTAATTCGTCAGGTTTCAAGATGAGGGCCTCTTTGGTTTTGAGCTTTAGCCCTGGGGCGAGGTGGTGTTGGGTTGGCATGAGATTCTAGGACGCGAGGCCACGCCAGGGACCCTAAACTCGAACATTGAACCCAACCACCTATATTGCCTCGAACCTGAACCCTGACCCAAGCAAATTAAACATCAAATTCCAGAACCAAACTGCTAAATCCTATAAAACCTAAACTCCAGACCCTGAGACCCATATGAAGGCTTTCCCTGAGCGCAGAGCGATCAGCTGCATGTTGCAGCCGCGGAAATCGCGGTGGATTAGACAGAACCGCTCCAAATACCTCAGTTCAACTGCACCACAGTCTGACATCAATACCGGGCCGGTTTAGGGTCCAGTCGTGGTCTTTGGGACAAGGAGAGTACTCCTATTTGCAATAACCTTGTTGAAGCCTCTGGGCAAATGCATGATGCAGAAAGTCATGATCCCCACACCCCGGGATCGCAGCCGACGCCAAACCCTGTCGACACCACCCGCACTAAGCTGCGCCCGCGAAAAACAAATCAACCTACGAATCTTCAAGCCCTGGCGGCACATCCCCGCCCAAACAAAAACAGTCTGCACAACGCAAAACCATAAACCCCAAAAGCTCTTATAAGAAGGATTGATCGAGCCAGGTTACTCCAAAGCCATAATGCACTGCAGAATCACCTCGGGTTTAGGGTTTTGTGTTTGTGGTTTAGGGCCTAGGGTCCATCACAAAGACATTGAGTTTCCTTGCATATGCAGCATTTTCTGTCGGCCAGTACAGTAAGAGGTGTGTGCCGTCAGTTAATCCTTCGCAAACGATAGATACAGCGGAGCGCCTACGTAGCAGCAGCATTCTACTTCACAGTCTTGCTATCCGGTAGGAAGTCTGACATGTAGGGCAGAGATTACGGCTGGGGGTTTAATGTCTAACGTCTCGTGCTCAAAACTGCGAAGAAAAGTTAGGGCTCTCGGTCAGGCATCGTTCGTAGGTGTGAGTGAACGACAACAACTGGGGGCAAACCGCTGACACCGCCGAAACATCTCGATCTTCACGCCAAATAAGAACCTGAATCTGGAAACAAGCATCTCGTTAAAGCCGAAAACAATAAGGCCAGTACCCCAACAGTATACATAGTGAATCGGACGGGCGGGGCTTCTTAAAGTCTTAACAAATATCCTGAGGAAAAATATCAGAATTCTTCCGGCCCCAATGTTACATCGAAGCCACAAATAAAAGAAACCGGAGCCCCCGCGTCGTGCTTCTCCATTTGGGAGAGGCAAGGCGGATCGTGCACTTTTGCTGGCCGATATTCTCGATCCTGCGGGTGCGATGTTCCGAAGGAGCTGTGGCTTCTATAGGGTGGGCCTCAAGGACTTCTGGACTTAGGGCTTGGGCTGAAGGGCTTACAGGGTTTCGGATTTAGTGTTTAAAGGGCCGTAGGGTCTTCATAGGGCGGGTGCTCCTTCAAGCTACTGTCTCAAGATACTCAGGCCAGCTGGACTGGGTGTGGCCAGTCGACTTCACTGTCCGAGTTCTGATCGGCTCTACTGCTCCCTGTTCGGGTGGTCCAGCATGTGACGACCTGCGATGGCCGTGCATAACTTCAAGACTTGATATTCGTCAGGATCCTTGGGTTGCAACAGCTTGAAAGGGCATAGGAATGCTGGCTGAGGGTCCATGGCGGTCTGAAGCGTCTCGCCACGGGCGAGCTCCATCACAACCTCATGTTCACGGCTTAGGCTGCTTACGAAACAAGCATGCAGACTGTCACAGTAAGCCACATGGGTCAAATAGGGCATGAAGAAATATGATGCAAGCCTGAAGCGAAAGGTGTATGACCGCATGTCTTTATACATATGAAGTGTCTGAGCAAATGACTATATCTTTGTACCTGTTGGAATATCTCAGTCTGCCTGTCTGCATGTATGTCTGTATGTAAATATAGATGTGTATGCATGTATGCACGTACGTATGTAGATAGTTATGTAAGTGCTTAAGCCATGTTACACAAGTACGTGTCCGCACACGCTTGAGACGACTGAGGCGGCAGAGACGGGGTTCACTTCGCCCCCAGAAGCAGCAGAATCCGACTGCAACTCCACGACATCAGACCAAGGGGTTTGAAACAGTTACCAATACCAAATTGGTGCTCCTTACTATAGTCCTAGCAGAACGTATAGCCATTATGGGCCTCGTTTAAGTAGCAGTAGCAGTAGCAGCAGCAGGAGCAGCAGTACCAGTAGCAGTACCAGTAGCAGTAGCAGTAGAGTAGCAGTAGCAGTAGCAGTAGCAGTAGCAGTAGCAGTAGCAGTAGGGGTAGTGGTAGTGGTAGTGGTAGTGGTAGTGGTAGTGGTAGTGGTAGTAGTAGTGGTAGTGGTAGTGGTAGTGGTAGTGGTAGTGGTAGTGGTAGTGGTAGTGGTAGTGGTAGTGGTAGGGGTAGTGGTAGTGGTAGTGGTAGTGGTAGTGGTAGTAGTAGTAGTAGTAGTAGTAGTAGTAGTAGTAGTAGTAGTAGTAGTAGTAGTAGTAGTAGTAGTAGTAGTAGTAGTAGTAGTAGTAGTAGTCTAGTAGTAGTAGTAGTAGTAGTAGTAGTAGTAGTAGTAGTAGTAGTAGTAGTAGTAGTAGTAGTAGTAGTAGTAGTAGTAGTGATAGTAGGCAGTAGTAGGCAGTAGAAGGCAGCAGCAGCAGCAGCAGCAGCAGCAGCAGCAGCAGCAGCAGCAGTGGCAGTAGCGGTACCAACATGAGCATGATGCAGGACAATGACATTACTCTTGCCTTATTGGTTACTCAATTTGCTTGCTTGCTGTTTCGGTCGTGTGCAGCTGAGATCCAAGACATAAGGCTTCCCAGGCAGAATGATGCCTGCCGGAGCCAGGAGTGGACGGCCGCTGCCAGAGGGAGTCAGGGTTTAGAGTTTCAAGGGTTTCGAGTTCATGGATTCGGGTTTCGTGCTCAGTCTTTAAGTTTGGGGAACTCGCCCGGACATACCTGCACCCTTCGATATGCAAATGGTTTCGCTTGATGACAACATGATAAGCAGTTAACACCTGCAATGGAGGGTCTAGGAATGACTGCATGGCCGAACCTAACTGCGATGCATGCTGTTGCCGAGCTGGCCCAAGCACCCAAGTAGCAGAGTTTGCGGCCCCAGATATCATACTCTGAAAGGTTTCTGTTGTCCTGAAACCCTGGTATTCGACATTGAGCCGTAATCAGGATTCTACACAGCACACTCGGGTTGGCTGGGGCTGGGTGGTCTGCCTCATCCTTGCACTGGCATGCTTGTGTTCAAAGGCTCGGGCTCAAGGATGGATAAGAAAGATCAAGAGGGAGCAAAGAGAGAGAGGGAGAGGGAGCAAAGAGACAGAGAGAGAGAGAGAGAGAGACACAAAGAGAGGGATGCAGGGAGTTCATCTGAAGTTCATCTGATCATTAGGGGTCCCTCATTTAAACTCTAAACCCTAAACCTTAAACCCTAAACACAAGGTGTCCCATGATGAGGAATCCCATAGCATCGAGCAGCCATGACTTGAGACCCTGGAGTTTCTCAGCTCGGCAACTTCAACCCCACTTCCCGGCTTCGGTCATCCAGTTGAGTTAAGGCCTACCCAAACAATCCAAAGGACCAAATAATTAGGTACTCGGCTTTAGGATAGTAGTTAGGATTTTGGAGAGTGCATGATAATAAGGTACTTGGACCCTTAGTAACTTAGGGCTAGGGTTGACCTCGGGAACGCTCCAATGGATTCCGAGTGTAGGTCGTAGGCGCAGACCACCCGAAAACACAAGTAGGCATAAACGGCCCTTACGAATCACTCTGCTACCCCAAACCCTGGACCCTAAACACTATCCCGTTCTTAGGTAAATTTGCTGGCGAGGGCACGGTGCTTGGACCAGTCAAACTTCGGCGACTCGTATTCCTTGCGGCGCTCCTGTAGCTACGAGTTGTTTTTTCGGGTCTTTACCCCTAGGCCCCCATAGTTCTTCCTTTTTGGGATTACGATATAGGATTCTACATATGAATCCCGAAAAGGAACTACTATGGGGTATATAGGTAAAGGCTGTCTATCTCAGCCGGCAGCCTGTAACGTCCCGAAGTTCGTAGCCGGGAAACAAACTCTGCAAATCAAATACCAGGCTCAATAGATGTGAAGTAACGGTCTGTGTGACAGATGTATGTATGCACTCATGCATGCGTATTGTGTGTATATATATATATATATATGGGAGTTTCTGAAAATTAGGGGTACCTTATTTCGAGGTCCTTATAACAAGGGTCCTACTATTTAGGGTTCCATATTAGGATTCCCTGTTTTTGGAAACTTCCATATATATATATATACACACACATGACGCTAAACTTTCGTAGGGAAAGCAATAACACTGGCCCATCCTCGAAGTCACTCGGACCAAGGTCTGTGAAGCCCGTATGGTCTTCAAGATACCTGCCGACTGCTTGGCTTACCTTGGGTTAGTAGGGAATGGAAGAATGGTAGTAGTAGTAGTAGTAGTAGTAGTAGTAGTAGTAGTAGTAGAGGTAGTAGAGGTAGTAGAGGTAGTAGAGGTAGTAGAGGTAGTAGAGGTAGTAGAGGTAGTAGTGGTAGTAGTGGTAGTAGTAGTAGTAGTAGTAGTAGTAATAGTAGTAGTAGTAGTAGTAGTAGTAGTAGTAGTAGTAGTAGTAGTAGTAGTAGTAGTAGTAGTAGTAGTAGTAGTAGTAATAGTAGTTATAATTGTACCCCATTCCTCCATTCCCTACTAACCAACGGCAAGCTGTTTGGGTCCCTTTGCGGAGCTTCAATGGGCGAAGCGCAAGCACTAGCTGCTTGCTTTCAAGTTCTCCGGCTTTGGCACAGAGTATGGCATTTGTCAGGGCTGAGCCGATCTAGGGCAACATAGGGGCCTTGATGATTAGAATAGGGAATAGGGTTTCGGGGTACATTATCCTGTATGTATAATAAGGAGCCCCCGCAAGATAGTATAGGTAATAATTCAGGCCCCTATGTTGAGGATTCTGGATGATTCGGGGCTGTTTGGGGGCCACGTACAGCTCAGGCCATCTCGGTGCCTCGGCATTTGACTTCTTCTGCTTTCAAGATCGTTCCAGTGCAGCAAACCCCTTAAGGTTGGAAACCGGGTGAAGGCCAAACAGTGGGGATTCCTTATACATTACTCTTAAGGATTGAGGCTATTGGGTTTCCAACTTTTAGGCTTCTACGGTAATTGGAGTAGAAACACACATAGCCTGTAAACCCCAAAACCCTACAGGGCCTGAACCCCCCTTAGCCCCAAGACCAGAAACCTGATCTCGCATCCGTAGCCTGGCAAAGAGACTGGCATGCGACTCGGAGTAGCGGGGATCGGAATGGTTGTGGAGGCGTTGTAGCGACCACTGGCCTTAAGCAAAAGCTGCTCTGTCTAGAGCCCATGCCAACCATAAACAACAACCTGCCCTGTTTTGGAGTCATATGAAAATTACAGAGGGACTCTGAGAGGGGGTAGGTTATTTATAGTCTCTCGGTAGGGCTAAGACTTCAACATCCGCTTCTTATCCTGCAGCGCTTAAGACTTGAGCCTGAAACCACAGCCCCTGAGCCGGGAGAGAGAAGGGCTTTCAGACTTGCACAAGTTGTTGTACAAGTTTCGCTGGTGCTGCTGCTGCTGCTGTCCGTGGCGATGAAGTAAGGGCAGTAAGGGTTGATGGTGTAGAATTCGGGGCTTTAGGGTTGATCGGGTTTAGAGTTTCAGGGATTAGGGTTTATTTTGATGTGCGGGGTGTAAGGTTACACTGAAAAGACTCCTTAATCCCATGCTACATCCTGATGCCCAGCTCTGCATTCACAAACTCTGAGCCGTACATCTAGACCAAAAAACTTTGGGAGTTTCCGAAAATAGGGGACCCTAATATAGTACCCCAAAATAGTAGAATCCTTATTCTAAGGACCCCAAAATAAGGTATTTTCGGAAAACACCCATTTGGCAACAACTTCGACGCGGGGTTGCCAGCATTAGCATCATTTTCGATTTTTAGCTCTCTAACAACTCACAAATTCGGAGCCCCTAAACCCTACAGTAGAAGCCCAAAAGTTGGAAACCCAATAGCCTCAATCCTTCAGAGTAAATGTATAAGGGGATCCCAGGACTATTTATTTGACCTTTATCAGGTTTCCAACTTTATGGAGTTTAAACCCTAAACCCTAAACCCTTTTACCGTAAACCCTAAACCTTGTAGCGAACTAGGGCCTCCCACTGATGCACTGTAAGAGTTCATGGAGATCTGGCTCTCGCAGGTCTACACAGTGGACATGGTGCGGGAACCTTGGGTCTTTGCGAGGGCTCTTTATGGATCCTACCATTTATTGGTGGTGCGGCTGCCTAAACCACACAAATTTTCGCGATCCCAAAATCAAAAAACCTAAAGACTAGGATCCATTCGGGGCTCTCTTCGAACCGGCCAGGAAGCTCCTAAGCTCTAAACAGTGGGGGAGGCTAAAGAAGCTAAGCAAAACCTCTAAAGTGTCCGCCAGGAAGCTCTCTCTATGCATCGCAAAGGCATGTCCTGGGTTAGGGATGTTCGGATTGTCATGTGATTTCTGCGTTCGGGTCGTGGACAAAACTCTGATGAAACGATGAAACGGGATCGTCCAGAGGGAAGGCCTGCACGACAGCAGTACTATACCGGGGCTAGCAGTGACAGTAAAGCAAACAAAAAGGGACCATAACAGGGACAATCCCTGGCCTTATACCGTCTCAAGGCTCCGCAACATCTAGAGGGAACCGGGGTTGCCCTTCTCCAGACTCGAGCAGTTAAAACAAAAGACGAACCTCGCAATGACAGCCTGTTTTCTGAGCCTAATTCTGCCACGCTGCTGGCATGTGCTTTGGAGTGCTTCTTCAGCACCTTCAGAAGAAAAAGCAACTGAGAAGCAGTGGTGCGAGTAGGCCATGCCGACGATGGTGTGAATGCTGCAGCTGGCTGCTTCTGATGAGGATAGTCAACGGGAGGATAAAGACGGAGAGTACTATTGAGATGCTGGCGATGATGATGTTGATGATGAAGGTGATGATGGTGCTCGGTGGTTGATGATGACTATGAGACTGATGAAGGTGATGCTGGGCTGCCGATGATGATGCACATTCCGCCGCCGACGACAGAGACTGCGACGATGTCGGCTCCGGATGTGGACAGCGTATGACATCCAAGGCCGCCATGATCGTAATACAGATCTCCAATTGCCAGGTTCATCAGCCTACCTACAAGCACCTGGCCAACAGGCTGCATAGAGGCACTCCTCCATGCAGGCGTCACAAACCCGCCCCCCCCCCCCCCGCTCCCTCCCTCCCGAAAGAAGATGACAAGCCCCCGAAAGCCTAGCACTACTGCCCTGCAGCCCCCCTCCGCCTCGCTTGGACTGCCAGACGCGAGGGTTCAAGGCCAAATCTCTAGGGTGACTAGACCCTACAAACTCCTGAACCGTACAGACTCCTAAACTCTAAACCCAGCGGAACCCCGCCATCTGCTCCAACTTGCTCACCAAAGTAGAAGCCGAAGCAACACTAGGGTTTAGGACCTTATTTAACCGGATTGAACCAGAGCAAGATACCGTAAAGAAAGCCGCGATTCCTTGCTCAAGAGTTTCGGTGCGTGAACCCTAGGGCAATAGGCGCCTACACCAGGATCCAAACGTTCGGAGCCCTCACAGACTTTCGAAATCTGAAGTCAGCAGAAAGCTCACCCCCAAGAACCAGACCATTACTCCTCACCCAAAAGACGACGCCACAGGAACTCTTGATACACAGCCTTACTGTAAACCACAAAACGCACCCACTACTGGTTTTTGCTCCGTAGTACTGTGCTGTGCATGGATCCTGGGTACCTCAAACCCTTGTATTTTGGGCACCAGCTTTAGTGTGCTATTCCGTAATCCCTAATCGTCAAACGCTTCTATTTTGGGCACAAAATGCCTCAGTAATTAGAATGAGGGTTTGGAGTATGTTATACTATAACTAAGGAACCCCCCAAAAGAGGATTTGCAATTATCTGGGCCCCTATATTAGCTTTGGTAGAAGCTTTAGTGCACCTTCACAGCCACCTGGCCAAGGCCTCCCTTTGTATCCCAAGCCTCGGGGGCAACTCGGGCTTCTCAGGGCTTGGGGGTACAGGCTTAGGGCTCCCGAGGCTTTCGGGTTTCCTAGGTTTCGGTGGCATAAGTCTAGATTCTAGATTTCTTAGGTGTGCAGGGGTCATCGACTTATGGTTCTTAGGCTTGGGGCATGTAGGCAATTTCTTAGGCTGTCGTGCTCCATTGGCTTCGGGTTTAGACTGCGGAGCGTCAGGAGTGTCAGAAGTAAACTCTTCTGGGGTTTCAGGTGTCAGGTCTTGGGGTTGTGGGTTTAGGGTTCAGGAGGTCGGGAAGACCTGACCTGGGGTCGGTTTAGGGTGGAAACATGTTAGCGTTTTTGTCCTCTGGGGGATCCTTACGATGACGGGTTCTATATTGTGGTCCATATCTTCTGACACTCCAAAAAAACAAATAGATATGACCCTCGACCCGAAACCTAAGTATGAGGCATCTGTCTGTAAGACTTCTCGCAATAGTGTGAACTCATACTTGGACACCGGTTTTACACGACGGGTTAGTTGTTCCAGGTTGGAGTTTTGGGAGGTGATCGACCTGTAGAAACCCTACGGAACCCCCCAGCCGTAGACCCCCTCTTTTGAGGTCCTTTGTCGAGCTCTTCCAGCCTTGTTGAGCTCTTGAAAACCACAAGCCCTAAGCTCTGAATCCTCAATCCTGAATGAAACCTCTGAGCCTTTGCAAATAAAGCCCCTGTAGAACCCCAAACCCTGAAACCTGACCCATATCCCTGAACCCTACAACCCTGAAAACCCTGCAGAAACCACCAAACTCTTATCCCTTATCCCTAAACCCAAAACCCTAAACTGGTTCATTGTTGGGATAGGATTAAAACTGTACATTGGTATTCCTTATTGGGTTGAAACACCCATAAAAGGCCAAACGTTACCCAACTATGACCAAGTAAACCCCAAAACCCAGGAATACCAGGGCCAAGAGGCTTGGAAGACGACCGCCAGGCCGCCTTCCCCCAGCTTCGTCTGCCGTCGCTTTCGTTTTTTTGTTTACAGGGTTGAGGGCAAAGCGTTTTGGGAGGTTTAGGGTATAGGTTTAGGGGTTTAGGGATTGAAGGTTTAGGGGGTGGTTTCATGCAAGGTTTGTAGGGTCTAGGGTTTGTTCTGGCGAGTTCTATGGGGAATTTACAATCGTAGTGCTAGGGTGGGTTTTGGCTATCGGGTTCTATGAAGGCTTAGATAGGTTCAGGGCTGACGTTTTCATAGAGGAGGGATCATCAAGATAGCGGCCGGTTCTTTTAGAAGTGAAGGAGATAGGGACCAAAGAGGGGGCCTATGCTCGAGCTAGAAGAGGTGCTTCGGACGTTATGCCATTTTTACATAAGGGGACGATAAGGGGATACTATCACGACTAGTTCTTAGACTACAACCCCAGAAAGCGAAGATGCCGGATTCGAAACTTTGGGTCCAGGGCTTCGGGTCCACACCAAAGCCTCGCTGACCAGCAATTTCCGTGAAGGGAAGAAAGCCCTCCGAGCCGTGAGGGTCCCGAGTCGTAAGGACCCATGATCGTGCCAGCGTGCCACGGCTCTTTTCTACCGGGGATTTTTCAACTTTCTGCACATAATTCTGCCTAAACCCTAAACCCCCTAAACCCTAAACCCCAAAGCCCCTAAACCCTAACCCCCCTAAACCCTAAACCCTACAAACCCCAGAGTGAAGGGCCCGGGCTTCTCGTCCATGACACTGTGTCACGGCTCGGCCGGGACAGCTGCTTCAGCGAAGAGTCTAGGACTCGAGCTTGCAAACTTTGAAAGACTTCAGGCGTTCATCAATACCCAGACCCCCGGGAGGATCCAAAAAGTAGATCCCTTAATGGGGGTTCCTAGTAGTATAGGGCCCCAAATTAGGGGATCTCCTTTCTAGATGCTCCCGGGGGTCTGGGTAGGGGACCTAGTATGTGGATCCCAGTTCCGAAAATTTTGCACAACCGGATATACGACGGATCCTCGCGGCCCCGGGCGACTTAGACGTCTGAACAATTACGTAGACGAAACATATGATACGTTTGCAAACTCAGCACTACCAAAAAACCTCGCCGACAGCGCCGTTCGGAATTTAGAAAAGCTTGATTTCTTGTGGAGACGAGAGATCTATTCTCTGTTCCAACCAGGAAAGTACTGCTGCATGCATGGCTGGCCAGCAGACGTGCGGAGTTCTCAGAACACATTAGACCATGGTCGTCATCATGCTAGGGCCTGGATGCTCCGTTGACGAAACGGATTAGACCATGGAGGTCATCATGGGCTTGCCAGGGATGAAATGTTGCAAGTCTCTTTCGGCAAAAACAGAAGCCGCAGTCTTGCACGCGAATGTGGGGCTGGTGGTATGAACAAGATTGCAGGAAGCCGCAGAAATACTAGGCAACCACTCAAGCCCTGCACTCGCGTGAACTGCAAACCCATGAACACCAGACAGACTAGACTCAAAAAGCAAACTCCTATACATAAAAGCTTGCGCAACCAGGGTGCCGAAAAACCATATAGAACCCTCACAGATCCCTTATAGAACGTCAGTTACTTCTTGTTGCTTCTCCCTAGGTGCCTCGTAGAGCCATCGCCCTGAGCCTGTGACGGGATCGTGGGCATCCGGCAGCTCGATCTTATCCTGCTTCAGAATAGAGTAGACTGGGCTCGTTTTAAGGAATTGAATTCAAGTTATCATGCTCAGGATATTACAATTTAAAGTTCCTGAACAACACAGTAAAAAGGGTGAGCAGGGCTCCAGGCTCCAGGGTTTTAGAGCTCCAGGTTCCGGGATTGTTTTTGTTGGTGAATAGGTTTCAGGGTTATAGTTTGGGGCTGGCGGTTTAGGGTTTGTCTTGCGCGGTCTGCTCCTTCTCGGTGGGTGAAAAAGCCACAATGGTTCAGCCTCGCGGCTCCTAAACCCTAAACCCTAAATCCAAAAAACCCAAACCGAACCCTAAACCCTAAACCCTAAACCCTAAACCTAAGCCCTAAACCCTAAACCCTAAGCCCTAAACCCAACTGCGTTGGAGCCGATGGTCTGCAACAAAGACCCCGCAGTCGAAGGTCTGCCTACGCAGCGACCTCCGTCACTAGACCTGTCTCTGAAATCCCAGTGGTACAGAACGCCTGAACCATAGATAGTGTTTTGGGACTTTTCGTATTGGGGTTCAGGGTTTAGTTAGGGCTACGGCTGAAGGGATTGGAGCCGTCTAGGCAAAGACTTTCGAACATCATTAATGCTCCAGTGATATACGGGCCTTCATATTTGGAGTAGGGTTTTAGTGTATATTCTACCCTACTTATAATAAGGAGCCCCCAAAACATTATAGGTAGTTATTAAGGACTCTGTAGTACTTCCGAGCCTTGCTGGGAGGAGGGGCACCTCCGGTGACACTGATGATCGGCGCAGCGATGGGCACCTCCTGTGCGAGACCGTACCACTGGAATGGGTAGATGTTATTTGTACTAAAGATCCCAGCCAAGATCGCCTTAGCTGTTGAGTTTAGGGTTTAGGGGTTTGGGGTTTAGGGTGATGTTAACCTTGATCAGCCTCCGTTGCTACGCACGAGAAGGTCTCTGTCAAGGGCCTAGCAGTTGGTGGGCCATTCCAGAAAACCCATGTCCTTCAGGTTTAGGCTTGTTAACTCCACCATCTGAACCGAACCTTGTCGACTCATCCCAAGACCAGAACCATAATGTACAGACCCCCTGCAGTCCAAACCTGTCAGCCCTGCACCAAAACATGGAGGCATGGTTGATTGGAACGAGGCTTCCTGGCGCCATGCTACACCATGCCAGTGCACGGAGAACTTGCAGCAACAAGGTGGTCTAGACACACATTCTACAACTAAAATTAGCAACAAACGGTATCAGGTGAACAACTTGCTGGCCATCGATATTGTATTCGCCGCGGAAGTCTTGCTGACGGAGAAGTTCGAAGTCCTAGAGCACCCCAGAAGAGGTGAACTGTGGCACACCAAAAAACCTTTATCGTGGAGAATTCCGCAATTTGTCCATGAGCAGTAGAAGTACGACCATCCCTCGAAACCCTGAACACAAAAAAAAAACCTAAACTCATGACACTGCTGATGTTGTTGAGGCTCCCCTGATGATTGGGCACTTAGAACCTACTGAACTGACTCGCAAATGCGAGCCTCTGACGCACTAAGCACGAGATATCTTGGGCTACAGGTAAGGTCTTTACAGCAAAAGCCAGAATGAATAGTACCGGTGGTAATTCCGAGCCCCTATAGTCGGTTCAGAGCCCCTTCCCCAGCTTTGCCGAAACCTCTGGCTGATCGATGGCCGTCTTCGCCGCCGGCCCAGTAACGCTGAAGTTGGGGGCTGGCACAGGCACCTTCCGGATTCGATGCTCTTGTCCTTCTGGGGCTCAAGACGTAGTGGACAACCCCCGCGGTTGAATCGGTTCCGACGCAGCAATTACCCGGGTCTTGGTTTGAGGGATTCGCGTGCCAAGTGTGAGTAAGCTTGAATGTACTGTTACTGTTGCTGTCTTTTTTTGCAGAAACGCCGCTTGCGAACCAGGCTTGTGAACCTCCCTGTCTTATTGGCGGTAATACAGGGGCCTCAATCACCGTGGAAGAACCTATATAGTTTGCTTGCTCAAAGCTTCTGATTCCATGATTGGCGATCGTCGGGAGATCGTGTTGTGGAGTGCTCCATACCGAAGCCCTCCCCCCTTTGTGTTTCGTCTGCATTTTGTGGTATATGGCTTTTCTTCATGTCTTAAGTAAGATGGAGGCGTGCTCATTCTGTGGGAGGATGACTATGTGTTTTCGAACCAAGCCTGCCCAATGCTTTTGTTGGTGCTTTTGCTTTGGAGAGAGCTGTGAGCTCGTAGGGTGCAATCTTGTTACAAATGCTCGTGTACCTGCATGGGTATACACAGCCCATGCATGCACATTTCATGTGTACATACATGTATGTGGGGGGGCGACCAGACAGGTAATGTCAGGCACTAAACAAATGGAAGGTAAGGGGACATGGACACCTTTCTACTGGGACGATGGAAAAGCCTGAAGCGCAAGCAGATGAAACAAAGGCTAAGTCGCATTTTGCGTAGAAATCGCCCACCCCAAACCCTAAACCCAAACTCCAACTTCAAGGCCAAACCCTTCTTAGAGACCGCTCCCGTCTGAAGCCTCGGGATCTCCCTGTGTAGCTGGTGCCATGGCGTCATTGTGAGTTTGGGGTTTGGGGATTGGGGGTTTAGGGCTTAGGGGTTCAGGGCTAAGGGATTGAGAGTTCAGGGGTTCAGGGCTTAAGGATTTAATGGTTTAGGATGTTTGAGGCTTCGCTTCCGCAAGACTACCGCCATTAGGACTATGGCTCTAATTACTAATATCTAGCGACACGAAGTGAGGGCAGGATGGTGCACGAGTTTCTCGGACTGGTTAGATAGCGAAAACCCAAACCTCAAATCAGGTTGCTTAGGGCTCAATGATAATAGTATTCCAAACACGACATCCCCAACACATGGTGCCGGTGATGATGCTGCTGATGGTGATGCAGTGATGCAGTGATGCAGGTGTTTGTTTGCAATGTTCCTCTCTGGCTTGGCTATTCTGGGGTTTTGTAATTTAGACCCAAGAGTAACCTAGGAATAAAAAGGGTGCCCTTTTTGGGCTAAAGGGGGTTATAAGAGAACCTAAACCCTGAAAAAGGGAATCAGGGCCTGCTCTGGCTTCTGTTAACTGCTACCAACTTGTGTTATCGAACCTGGCTTCTCCGGTGCTGCTCTTGATCTCTAACAAAGCCGCCTGTGGCTGCGGTGGGAAGATACGCGTGGTATGATCCACACCGTAAATAAACTCTAAACCCCAAGCTTACATTCTCGGACTTCATTTATAGAGTAACTCCAGAGTGACTGTGAGTATGAAGGTAAACCATTATAGTCACTATTGAAACGGCCCAGCATACTATGAACCCGAACATGGATAAATGCCTTTGGATCTACTGCAGGCTCTAACAAACGGCCAGAGGACAAAAGTAACTGACGCAAAGTCCCCAAACTCCAACACCCGACAATCGCCCTAACCCCTAAACCTACGCTAAACCTAGAAAGCCCAAAGCCCGAAACCTTCAAAGGCTAAAGCGCCATAATATAAGCGATAAGCGGGACGATAGAGGCCAAGTCTAAACTCTGAAACCCGACACCCCAAAACCCTACAACCCTGCACCCTCAACCCCAGCAATCTGAACCCCGCTTAATCTTACACACCCTGAAAGAAGAGGGGATCCTCGAGGAAGCCTTGAACCAAGGCTACTTCTACTGCTTTACAGGTTTCGCAGGATTAAAGCTTGTAGGATTGTAGGGTTTAGGGTTTCTACTATACACCGTACATGCACTATGGCCCCTTGCTACGGGTTTTGAAGCGCCGCAATGCTTGAAAACCCAGCACCTGCGCTTCGAACTAAACCTGAAGCCGCAAATCCTTTATCCAGCATTTCAGGAACGGCCGTTTTGCGCCGGTCTGATCAGGTGTATCATCGGAGTCTTTGGGATGGCCTGCACTGAAGGAGATGTGCCTCCTCTATAGGGTTTGGCGGTTCTGTGAGAAACCTGTGGTTCACGGCCCTCACGGGGTGCAGGGTTCTGTAGGAACCAGGACTTGCGCGAAACTGAGCTTGGAGTTGCAGTAGTTCAGTTTGTTGAACGACGGAAATAAGCAAGAGTTCATGGGGCACCGTCACAACCATAACGCTGACAACTGCGTAACACAGTCGACGAGAGCCGCACAATGATCGAATGCATACGTTACTAGCACATGATACCAAACAAACCGACAGCGGACAGCAGTCGTCGAAGTCTCAGCGACAGTCGGCGAGTCGGAATCGCCGTCGTCCTCGTCGTAGTCGTGGGTGGTCGTATGAGTGGAAGTAGTACGAGGAGGAGCAGGAGCAGTAGCAGTGGTACTCGTACTAATGCTAGTACTCGTACCAGTACTCGTACTCGTACTAGCACTAGTGCTAATACTAGTAACTGACACCATCATGCTGCTGTTCCCATGAAACTTTGTGAAACCCTGAAGTCAAAGACTTGCTCGGTCACGGAGGCACAGCCGCAGACTTCAAGTGCCACAGGCCCATGGCATGCGATTAGGAAGCTTTGTCCTGCTCAAGCTGCGCTTCCGAAGGCCCTTCAACGTTCACCTTGAACCCTCAAACCATATATGACTTGCACTGCATGTCGTTTATGGGTACTTCAGTTCATGAGAAGACCTGCGCTGAGCACCGAGGAAATCGTGTTGTAAGTTCGTTCGGGGGTTGGTTAGAGCTGGACTCTGATTAAAAGACATATATATATATATATATATCATATAGTTACATATATTGGTGCCTATACTAGGGTCCCGTGTCTTTTGAGGAACTCCCAAATACCACCCTCACGGCTCAACACTCTGATCGGGAGCAGGAGGCTAGCTTAATTGGTGCGGAAGTCACCGCCTCATAGCAACTCTGCCCGTAACCCTCTTCAGAGACTTGGGCGACACTCGAGCAATGTAGTGCAAATTTGTAAACCGTGGCTGCCCAATGGAAGCACCGCCTATATGCTCATGGAACGCCAGAGAGCAATCGATTTGGAAATAGACCTTAAAATTTTGTAGGCGATGCTCAGAAGTTCGTAACTGAAGCAGGACTGGTGTGCAGCTTCCAAGATTTGTGAGCTGCAAGTGGCGTTTAGAGTGTAGCGTCTTCGAGCTTGGCATGTAGAGGTTGAGATCACCGGGAGGATGCCAACAAGTTAGGAGAGTTGGACTGGATTCTTACGAACCGGTGTATGTGCAGAGAGGGAGGGAGAGAGAGGGAGAGAGATGGAGAGAGAGCGGAGATCGAGAGAGAGCGAGAGGGGGAGAGAGCGAGAGAGAAAGAAGGCACCAACCAACGAACGAACGATTAACCTGCTAGGGCTTTGACCGAACACAGAAACGGTATTGGAGAGCATGAACATGAACAGAGCGAACATAAGCATTATGACGAGGATAGAAGAAAGAAAACACATGTTTGATGATGAATGACGATGACGCTCATGCCGATGCTGACACTGATGCTGGCGACGACCATGACGATTGAGGATGAGGGTAACGATGATGCCGGCAACCGCGATTGAAACAAGGATGCCATGTAAACACACTGGCATTGATGCATCTCATGCAGAAGATGACGAAGACAGTCATGAGAAAACCGAGAACATGAAAAGCATTGAAAGTTGCCCATACAAGCAGCGAGGCCATGCAGCTCCTAAACCCCTAAACCGCCTAAACCCTAGATCCCTAAGCCCCCCAAACCCTAAACCTCACAAACCCTCAACCGCAAATCCCAAACCCCTAAACCCAAAACCCCTACACCCCGAAATCCCTAAACCCTAAACCCCTAAACCCAAAACCTCGAAACCCTAACCCCTAAACCCCCAAAACCATCGAAATCTCTAAACCCCCAAACCCCTAAATCCCTAAACCCCTAAACCCCAAACCCCGAAACCAGGAGAAGGATTGAGAAGTCGAAGGATGGCGATAGCTCACCGGTTCTTCCACAAGAACACGTAGTGGAGGGGCCTTTGGGTTCGAGTTTCCGGTTTAGGGTTTAGGGCCTTTGCGTGTCAGTTTCGGGTTTAGGGTTTAAGGCCTTCTGTCTTTAGCTTAGGGTTTAGGGTTCAGAGATTTAAGGCTTTAGTTTAGGGTTTTCTTGGTTTTGGTTTAGGGCTTCAGTGTAGGGTTTAGTTTTTTTAGGGTTTAGGGATTAGGGTTTAGAGTTTAGGCTTTAGTTAAGGCTTCAGGAGGCCGTGTCCGGCTCGGAGCATCGCCCTGAAGCAGACAGCAACAGAAACTGTAGAGGCGATTTCCTACCGCTTTCCCCAAGGGTCCAAATACCTGACTACTATTTGCTTAAGAACCCCAAAAAATAAAAAACATATTATTTATGGGGGTAATATAGGGATTATTATTTTTATTTTTTGGTGGTTTCTTAAGCAAATAGTAGATGATAATCATATATTCTCCAAAATCCTAACCTATCCTAAAACCGAGTACCTGATTAATGGGTCCTTTCGACCCTTGGGTTTCCTGTGCGGAAAGACCAAAGGGTCCAAAGTACCTATATGGGTAGTTATCAAAATTAGGGTCCCGTTTCGGGTACCCCAAATGATAGGTGCCGTATTATATAAGGGCCCAAAAAGGCACCCTAACTTTGACAACCATCCTTTTAGCAGAATGCAGGGTTTCTTGTTTAAGAATGACTATTATTATTTGGGGAAGTATATATCCCCCCGGAACAGTACCTAGGACCCTTTGGGAAGTATCCTCGGATGAGTTCGCGTTTGGGGGCAAAGCCGCGAGAGATTTCGAACTCGGAGTTTCGATGCAGGGTTTGGGGTGTCGGGCTCAGAACCCTAAACCCTAAAACCCTAAACCCTAAACCCTGAACCCTAAAAACTAGAGAGTGCCACGGAATACGGGCCCGTGTTTTACAAGTAAAACTGTTGTTTTTTCGTATTTTTAAACACGAAGTCTCAAGATCTGAATCCTGCTGGAAGTCACGGGACTGCCAAAGGAATCCAAACCCTGGCACTATAGAACAGAGTAGGTGACAAAATCAGTTGGATAAAGCAGTGCACTTCTCGCCCAACGTGTTTGTGCAGAAATCCAAAACTCAATGTACGTGAAATGGTGGGAACCCAACACCAAGAAGGTGAAAGAAGCCGACACCACAAGAATAGCGCCAGGTTCACGACTGCACAAATGACAGGTGTTGGAGCCTGCCGTAACCTTATAATGCGATGATGGGTAGCACGTCCCAAACTCTACAAGACATGAACGGGCTAGCAAACGCAGGTGCTAGCAACACCTCGACCACAGAAGAAGTAAGTGGTTTGGAAGATTGCTCCCACAAGCGCCATCCCTAACAGGAGTGAGAGGTTCGGACAGCACATATCCTAAAGGTGGTGACTAGTTACTAGTTCCCAAGAAACTTAGGGGGACTTGTTGAAGATCTCAAAAAGATGATCTGAGTCAAATACCAAACATGGAGACGGGGACCAGCCATTGAGAAACCTAAAGTTTAGCCGGGTTGGCTCAAATGCAGACCCAACACCGTATGGGCCGCACTCCCCGGATACAAACATGAAAGCCTCTTCCCACATATCCCAAATTCCGATGAAAACCGCTGTGTGGCAGACCCAGAACCTGAGTCCTTAAACAAGGCCGGCAGCAGCAGAAACTCTAAAAGAGTTACTGGTTTTCAGATTTTGACACTGATGACTGATTGATAAAGAAGCTCAAATCCTAATGATAATGGCATCTCGACAACCCGAAGTGTCAACGAAATGTTATGGCTGTCAGGCCTTGCAGACCCCATAAGCGCTCTGCAAAAAGGGCAAACGAGTTTGCGTCTTCAAAGCAACCCATGCGAGGAATGATGGATGAGAAACCTTCAACTCCAATAGTTTTCCAACATACCCAAACCGTAAAACTTGAACCCAATATCTGAGGAATGCCAAACCCCAAACCATGAAACACCAAACCATTAAACAACAATCTTTATGAGACCCCCAAGTTCCAGACATGACACAAAATCTTGTGAAAGGGTATGCTACCTCGCAATCTTCAAGCCCCAAGATAAAAAAGCAAGCCATGATCTGCAAAGTCGGTAACTAAGTTCCAAAAGTCCCCAATAGCCTGGTAGGCGATCTCGGCAGCTTTAGAAAACTGTCGTCTCGTTTAAAAGCATACTTGCGACCCAGCATCCCTTACTTGAACTTGGACTTATATTTCCAGTCCCAGTAGCACCGTTGAGCAATCTCTTACTATACCTTGGGGATCTTTGGGTTTTTGTCATCCATGATTCATTCCCCTGGTCGGGGTCCTGTCACCCCTGCGGGGATTTGTAAGTAAGGTTGGCCACCTACGTGGTCATATTCTTTTAAAGATTCGGGGTTTGCACCTGCCACCCATCGTCTGTTACTAGTTGGTTGTTTGCGTTTTCTGGGAACACGTGGTTTGCCGCTCATCGTCTCCTGTGGCGGTTGGTCTGCGACACAATTTTGCCGACTGTGTGGGGTTTGGGAGGCTCCGTCACCTTTCTTACGGTTTGGTTCTCAGTGCTGCCTTGCCGCGCACCAAGCCCTTGCTGGTAATTCTATTTTCTTGCAACGATCAATACCTCCCGTTACAGTGTTCAACTTCCAATCTCCACCACTCACTCCTGTCAGGGATTTGAGTTTTTGGGAACCGATTTTGGGGAATCGGTTCCTTACCGACTATTCCTTTCAAGCCATTGGAGTTGCCAAGGTTGATTTTTGGGTTCGATAAAGGACGGCACCCATCCGCAGCGTTAACGGTCTGCCACGTGATTGAGCATCAAAACCATACCCTATTGAACGTTGTCGGTTTGGGGAACTGAGCCACATCTTCCAAGAGTGAGGTTTGCCATCCAATCCTCCTTGCGTAGGGCTTTCCCCACAACTCATGTTGGGGTGTTTTGGAACCAATCTATCTTTTGGGGGTCTTGGGTCTCTTTGCCTCTGCGGGTCCCATATCTCATATCTCTTTAGGGTCTCAGATTTTCGGCGCCATTCGCACGCATGTACCCACCATGATCGATTGAAATAGGTATACCATGTATTATCAGCTTTCAGATTTTCAGGTTCATGGGCTTATGAATAACTACTATAGTTACTATATCGTTAGTACTTTTTGTGTCACCGGCTGTACGGGGTCTCTGATGCCCGATTCCAGTCGCTCGCATCAGCCCAACATTCCGTATTGAGGTCGTGCAACAACATACGTTTTTTCGCTACTGGGCTTTGTCTATATATATATATATGTACCTCTATGTACACATGCACATGCCTATGTACGTCCGTACATCTAGGATATAGACTACACCTGTCTTACTCACGTATTTTCGCATGTACACCAATACACACACATAAATGAATAAATGAATAAATGTAAATATACATATATATATATATATATATATATATATATATATATATATATATATATATATATATATATATATACATATACATATATACATATACATATATACATATACGTATATACCTCATTGTATATAGACATTCATACATACACATACATGTATATATATATATACACACATGTATATATGCTGGTACATACATAGTCCATGTTTGTGTCGTCAAGTATCTGACGACGGTGACAACCATACACAAAATACGAAGTCTGTTCCGGTCTACCTGCAGGGCCTGACATCGCAGGGGAGAGGGGGTCCGGGAGGCCGTCCTAGGTGGGCGCGCGCGGATGAGGAGGGGCCGGAGGGTCCTGGAGGGGGGGGGGGAGGCCAAAAGAAAAAAAAAAAAAAATCTTTCTTTTTTTTTACGGTTTTTTTTTTTTTTTTGCCGACCCCCCCCCCCCCGTGGAGCCTAGGACCCGGCCCTCGGCATAGAGGGATGCACCTCCAAATAGAGTTGCACCTTCAACTCCACTTGACCACGTGCATCCGTCCATCACGTTTTTCGTTCTTCATACTTTTTTAATACATGGACATTGACATTCAAGGCACATATACGAAATCTTTGTTAACAGCCAACACACGGCTAGGCCATCGTCAGCATGTGTGCTTTCTGACAATGTGCAAAAACATGGGCCCGTATTATGTTGTTTTCTGAAAAACTAAACCCTAAACCCTGATCAACAAAAAAAACACAGTTGTTGGGGCTTTCCGGCTCTCTTCATGGTGAGGGCTATTCTGGCCTGGTGCTAGTGTATATAGGGTTCAAGCTTGAAGGCTTCGGGGTCAGCAAGACGAAGAGATTCACTGTCAGTGTTCACATCCACACACATCACTAGAATCTTCGGTCGCAAGTTCACTCCAAGCTGGTCCAAGCTGCTTGCTTTGCCCCCAAACTTTTTTGGAAGTTCTCCGAACGAACACTGGCATTGCATTGCATCCTTCCATGCCAACATTCCCCAAACCGGTGCGACAGAAGCTTGGTCTGAAATCATGATGGGCATCTGCATAGCGAGAACGCTAGCAACACTTAAAACCTCAAAGCCTTGCCGTTAATATGAATCGTTTTGCAAAGATGCAGCCTGCACATTACTGCATCGATCGCGTACTATAGAAGACTTTCAACAGGTTCTAGATTTGCATCGACTGCTACATGTCACATATTAGGCACCACATGACAAGCCAAAACCTGACGTCACTCTAAACGCGAATCCCTACACCCAAAGAAGCTTACCTCCGATCTGTGTCTAAAGTCTGTCTCCGTTCTTGAGAGCCCATGCTGTCTCACAAATTCCTGCAAAGCCTCGAGTGGGTTGCTGAGAAAGCAAGGTGCTACTAATATTCAGAATAATCAGATCAATAAATAAGAATGATATTTAAACCCATAATGGTAGTACTTTGAAAACTAAGTATAGCAAGACTAATACCATTTAAATTTAGTATCAACTACCTGCTACGTACTGCTTACTACTTACTACTACTTATTGCTAACTACTAACTACTACTACTACTACTACTACTACTACTACTACTACTACTACTACTACTACTACTACTCCTGCTGCTGCTGCTACTACTACTAGTACTGCTACTACTACTACTACTACTACCCAACGACTAATACTTCTTCTTCTATTATCACTACCGCTACTGTTCACGGTTGTAATGATCATGACAATTTCAGTAAAACTAGTGATAGCAATATTGCAACTGTACACCGCTTTTACAGGAGCCTTTGTCCGGAATCCTGAACCCTTCTCTTGTCACAGAAACACCGTGTCCTCATAATCTTGTGCCGATCTTCCGGGCTCTTCTTTCTCCGAAGCTCGGACAGGCAACACAATAAACATAAGATCAAGGCAATAGTGCTGCTAACAATACTAATTAATAGCAATCGTCATCATACTTGAGACCGTATACACCTTTTTTTCGGCATTTAGTGGAAATCAACAGACCCAGATCATCGAGGAAGCGAAAGATGGACTCTCCAACAAAAAACTGGTCATTTCTTAATTGAGGAGGCGCTCCTTTGCACAGCCGGCATTGATGCAACCGTAGTCCTAACAGTGACGACAAGCCCTTCAAAGTAGCCCAAAGGCCTAAACATAACGGGAAACCATAAATTCAGGAAGCACCCGGCAATCCTGCAGCACTCAATGCCTTGCAATTCACAGCTGCTAGGCCTGTACAGCGGTGCATCTGCAATTCCATCGACGTGTACTTAGGGGTGTAGGAGTCAGGGCCTTAGGCCAGGGGTCTTCTCCGGATCCAGCCTTTACGGGCGCAAAGGCACTCGTCAGTGCCAGCACAGTTCAAATGCATATGCCGGCGGTACTGATGAAGCAAGAAACCACAAAAGCTTGCACATACATACATACATACATACATGCATACATACATACAAACATACATATAACATACATACATGATAGCATACATAAAATACAAACATACCTACATACATGCATACATACGTGCATGCATGCGCGCATGCATGCGTGCATGGTTGCATTTTGCATGTCCAGATGCAAGAATGCATGATGTGTCTGGCAACATCTAAAGATACTCCCAAACCAGAAATCGGGATGCCGAAACTGAACCGCCAGCCTAAGGACTTGGTGTTATGGGGATCCTACAGACCATGCTCCTCACGAATGTATACCTGGGCAGTGGCTAGCAGAAAGGGAAGGATAGTTCTGCGCAGCCTTTTGAGCACAGGGCTTAAGCTGTGGGGGTTTAGGGCTCGAGCATTCCAGTCCCTCAAGGATAGAAGCCAAGCTTGCGCATCTCTGCGCAGATGAAGGGTGCCAAATAGTGGCAGCCATTCCTGTGCGTGTCTCCAGGGTTTCTCCCCATTGGTTTCTGTGTTTAGGGTTTGGGGCGGGGATATGGGAGTTTCCGCAAATAGGGGACCCCAATATAGTACCCTAAAATAGTAGGATCCTTATTATAAGGACCCCAAATAAGGTACCCTAATTTTCGGAAACTCCCATATCAACTTTGAAAGAATGCTGCCTCGGCGAAGCGCTTGGACCGCTGGCTTCGGGTTCAGGGCATTTGAGATAAATGCTGGTCTTGCTTCGCTCAGGACTGAAGGCTGTGAGCCCCTCAACCTCAATCCTATGGCCATCTAAAGCCCTAAACCCGAAAATCCAAATCCTTAAACCCCCAACTACACAAGGAGCAAGTGGAGGGGAATGATATGAGTGCTGAGCCCGTTTCTGCCCCACCCACACTGACTCACACTGTTTTCTCAGGAAAGTCGCTGTTAGTTGGCCAGACTAGGCCCGGCGACTACATGAGCTTAGGGTTTAGGGGTGTTCCTTGAGCCTGAAGTAGTCACACCGAGTCCTACGCCCTACAGTGCCCTACAAACCAGCCAAACAAGTCAACCAACAAACACAAACTCGCACAAGCCAAGCAATCGTAAAGTGCGAGAATTGAAATCTACAGATCCAACGGCAGCGAATGCAAAGCCGACCACATACAATGCCCTCAGTCGAAGCTGAGACGCATGTTGATGTGATGCGAATCCACATAGGCAACTGCCGATGTGCCAGGAACCCAAATATCACAGATGCCGTTGGCGCACATGGGTGAGAAGAGGTCGATCCTTTGTCAACACAGCGGACATGCCCTGGGAAAACAGACATTTTTAACCTGCAGAAAACGCTCCTGAAGCTTGGTTGATGTCCTTGCTTAAGTAAGTTGGACTGAACAGGGGCACTGTACTTGAGCAGGTGCTCTACGATAGCTCTAGCATTGAAACGTTAGATCCCAAAGCTTTGACATGAAAGGCATGCGTGCACTTGCATGCAGCGAGCCCCAACAGCTCATTCCTTTGCAATAGCAGTGCACCCAAGTTGCCCGGCTACTCGGAGTTGACACCCTTGAACCTACCCCTAAGCCCTTTGAGAAGAATGTCAACTGTAAGTGACTCTGTCACATTTGGCAACCACATCAAAGGTGTCATGTGCGTCTGGCTTTGGAAGTTAAGGAAGTGACGCTTGCATGCTGCTGACCTGAGAAGAGCACATGCCCCCACATCCAGCTGGGTGGCATGTCATAGGAAGATGCATACCTTGGACATCACAAGAAAGCCGCACAACGAAATTTGTAGAAGGGGCTATTTGTGCCTTCCAGCACATCTTGATAATACTCATGTGAATTAGAGGCAAGCATAGTCCATTTGTTCATCTCTTGCCAAACGCGGTGCGCCGAAAGCATCTTTTTGGTGTCCTCGACGTCTGCAAGTGCTTGGGGCCTCAGCGGAAACAAAACACAAGGAAGCCACCTAAAGGCTCCATAGGCCATAGTAGTTCCTTTTTGGGGCTCATATTTAGAATCCTGTAAGGTAATCCCCAAAAGGAACCACTTTGGAGCCTGTGGCTACCTGCCGCAACCGAGCAAGGAACCACATCTCTACTCGGGGTCCTGCAGAGCTTCCGGAAGATATTGTAGAGGCCTTCATGATTAGAACAGGAGTGGGGGGGGGGGGGTATATTATACTACAGTCATAATAATAAGGAACCCCCGACAATATGTATTGGCAATTCTTTAGGCCGACACGAACGGAGTTCAACAGCGAGAAGCTGCCTTCCAGCATCATCACCAGCATCAAGAACAGTACATGGTTACCGTATTGACAGCAACAAGAGGCATAATACACCACGGAACACCTGTATCCTATATCAAAGACATCCACTACAACAAGCAACATGGCCCAAGGGGATATCCGATCGTGGAAGATAATAACTTCGCTTAGGTACTTCCAGGGTTTAGGGCTTAGGGCTTCAGAGCTTTAGGGTTCAGAGTATCGGAACCCTCCGAGAACTCATCGCCTAAGCATGAAAAGACTCCTTGGTCACAAAACCTGCCATACTGCGATCAGCACAGAATCATACGTCTTAACTTCGCGCACCTAACCCGAACCAGCACGGCCGGATATCATCGGCTCACAGCTTCTGCGCTATATAGGAGTTTCCGAAAATAGGGGACCCTAATATAAACCCTAAATAGTAGGATCCTTATTGTAAGGGCCCCAAAATGGGTACCCCCCTAATTTTCGGAAACTCCCATGTTGGTAGCTCCATCCGTCGGGTATCTCTCAACTCCTAGCGTTAGGGTTTAGGGTTTACTAGTACATGAGGGTGACCCGTCGTTGCCGACTGGGGCCTTTTCTTATTCAGTTCTTATTGACTTTGTAAACTATATACCTACATGAACGAAACTTGCATTTCTATAAACTAAGAAATGTTGTCAATCATTCATGTACTACTTGAGTCTCACTGTCCTACAGCCAACACAAACAGTTGATAAATCGTGAACCCTGAACTCGAGGCCGTACCGCTTTCGTGGGTCGATTGCCGAGCAGCACTGAAATCGAGCATTGGCTTTGCTTCCAGGGGTCGGAGTTAGCACCTGTCAAAAGAACCCTGGTGCAGTTTGGAATGAAGGCTTCGGGGTTCGGACATCTGTGGATGTGACAGTGGCGCTGATGGCGTTAATTAGTAATGGACGACGACATCGATATTGACGATGCCAGTGGCCGATGCCCAGAACCGTGGCTGGTTCCTCACTGAGTAAGGAGTGGATGTGGATGTTTCAGTATAGTTCCTGCCGTGCCATGGGCACAGTAAGCATCATATACCCCACCAAGCTGTGAACTGCAGTACGTGCACTCACTGACATCTCCTGATGGTGAGATGTCGGAAGCATGTAGGTCGTCGTGAATTAGAAGCTCATACTCCAAAAGGAAAACAAAGACCTGAGCTTCTCGGCATTAACAGCGCCATCGTCATCAGCTTATTCTGATTCAGAATCACCATCACCACCATCACCAGTTTCATCATCATCACCAGCACCAGCAGCAGCACCTTCACCACCACCATCGCCGGCACCATCATCATCGTCATCATCATCATCCTCATCGTCATCATCACCACGTCAACAACAACATCATCGTCAGCGTCGCCGTCCTCATAATCACCAGCATTGTCATCATCGTCACCATCATCGCTATCATCATCAACATCATCAGTGTCATCATCGTCATGGCAAAAGAACAACATGCTTGATGTTATCAACATCATCATCGTCAAGAATAAAATCAATGTCATCATCATAGCCGCCGGCATTGGGGCATTGGTATCCACCATCATTGTCATCATCAAGATCATATGTGTGTCACCATCATCCTCGTCATCATCACCATCACCGTCGTCATCATGATTATCTTCATCACTACCATCATGTCATCATCAACAAAAACAGCATCGTGAACAACATCCAAACCTTTGGGTGGAGATCAGTGTTTAGCGGGTAGTTGTTTTGAACCTTCTGCCAGAACTGGCGAGCCAATCGTCCGGGTCCAGACAAAACTTCTGAAATGGTTGAACAAACTTGGCCAGGATGGCAATTCAAGGAATCGTCGTTCAGAAGAGGGACGTCCTTGAAAAGGAGCAATCTTGCCTCAGAGGCTCAAGCGGACATCTGGCGCATTATCAGCTGCCCATTCGCAGCCAACGAAAAAGCAACATGCGATGGCTTCACAGTAATCACGGGCTTTGAACGCAAAGCTTTGGCTTCCGCATCCGTGAGGTGGAGAATCATTCAGGCAAGTCGGGTCCGAAGGTGTCTGAGCTTCGCAAGCTGTGCTGAGGGTCTGATTTTGCTGCTTCATGAGGTCCGTCGATTTGGGGGATGCAGTGCGTGGTGCAGTATGTCACAAGCAGCCTGGCATCGTTATTCCAGAGCATGCACACCGAGATCACAAACTAACAGCTCAGGTACTCGAAACATCACACTGGCTTCCCTTCAAAACACTGCAGCGATCACGCCCGTCAGGCAGAAATCCAGCGCACCCCCAGCACCCGCTTTGGCGCATCACCTTGCTGTCATCTGCCTGGCGCTGGCATGTTGGCCTGAAGGGTGCTGCCGCCTTGTGCTCCGAACCAGTGAGCATCGTACCCCTTCGGAAGCCGCACACATTGGTTCCGCAAAGCTAGCCCCACACCCGGCAAGTGGCGTGCCAAAGTGCCGGTGCTGTAAAACCAGCCGCGCCTCAACATTTCGTGGGTAGACCATTGCAATGCAAACAGTATTGCCTTGTTTTTGGGATTAAGGCTGCGAGGGTCTCGGTTTTAAACGTGTATATGGTCGCGCCTAGGGGGTTTGAAAACCTTGGCATGGCCTTCCCTTCCAAGCACCGTGGAGATCACGCCCGTCAGGCTAAATCTGGTGTACCCCCAGCAAGCGCTTTGGCGCATTGCCTTGCTGTCATCTGCCAGGCACATGGCATGTTGGCCTCAAAGGTACCACAAACACGGACACGTAGCTCAGAACCCAGTGGACATCATGTGCATCTTGGGAAACTGACCCATGTTGATGCACGCCTGTGACCAGACGGATCAAGTACTTCGCACGTTGAGGTCCCACTGGATTCGAGGGTCCTGTGTTCCACAGCAGCTTGCCCCACAACCGGCCAGCAGTGTGTTGGACCGCTGAAGCTGTTGCGAGAAACAACAGCTGTGCCCCAACAGTCCATGGGTAAGGCACAATGTGTTAGAACTGTAAAGGCTTACTGGCTTCGATTCGGACGGCAGTTCCTTCAGAGGCAGCCTCTGCAATGATTGCACAACCCACTTCCCGAGATACCGAACGACTGGCATGCTACCCACGCGCCTACGAGTCTTTAGGGGCAGCTACATCCCCCAGGCTCACGACTCAAGACCGTATCCACATGGTTAAGGCCCCTCCACATCCAGCAATCACCATGATCGCTCTGCTGAACACTTGTGACACAAACAGCAACTTAAATAGAATCTACCTGGAGACCCGAATTCATGGACTTTAGGCACACGGTACATTCATTCTACTGTCACTTGTAGGCTTGCTGCGCACGGGAACCTTCTGTCGCCAATCCTGCTGCTATCCTGACTCATGTAGGGGCCATAACAATCAGGATAAGGTCGCGGGGTATATTGCAGCATCAGTATATGATGCACTGAGGAGTAGCTATGTTAGAAAGCTAACAGCATTTTGATCTGGTTTTCGAGGTCTACGTGCCTTATGAGGTAGCAGAAGTTAGCCAGAACAACCGTCGGTTCTGCTTCTAAAGATGGTCCCCTTAGGGGTCTCTATCCGTTAACTATTCTAACGGCCGAACAAGTCCCCCCAGTTGAAATTAACTTATTTCCGCGCTTGCGGGCTCCAATTCCATGAACTCAAGGGTTGAATGTACCATAGGGGCCTTGAAATATCATCAGAATTGAGTGTGTTGGGGTACAGTATAGTCAGAATAGGAACCCGAATCAGGAAAAGTGTTAGTAGCTATCCAGGCTGCAGCCATTCAAACCCCCAAGCAAAGAAGACAAGAGGGAAAGTGATGAACACCATCGTGCACTTACTAGGCTGAAGTAGGGGCTTTAGCAATCACAATCGAGCTTGGAATGCAGTCAGAAAATCGTTGTCGTAGCCGATACACTAGAATTTGGTGAGTTCCTGTACGAATTGTAGATATGTTCCGCAGTTCCTCCCACAGCCACCCAGCCAAAGGTGCGTTTGATGCCCTGCACCGTTGTACAAACAGTGACGCCTCGGCAGCTTTCGGGTCGCAACATCCAACAGAAGAGCAAGACCACCACGTGACACATCAACGAGTCTAAAGTCTAAAGAGACCTGAGGTGCATACTAGTACACGTTCCTCGTGAGCGGGTCCGCAAGGCAAAAGCGGCACCAAACAAGCACAATCCACGTTTTCAAGATGAAGCCTCAACCGTCGGCACGATATTACATGCGCCAGGTGATGTAGAGGCCTACCCTGCCAAGCAGTGTGGAGGATCGCCTGTCTGGCTGTGAATCCAGGATGCCCCCAGCAAGCGCGTTGGCGCATCGCCTTGCTGTCATTTGCCAGGCGCTGGCATGTTGGCCTCAAGGGCCCCACAGACACCCGCGACGAACCTGGAGGATGTCGTGCGTCTCGGGCAACCGACCCGAGGTCATCCGAGCCTGATACCAGGTGAGATCTTCCGCACGAGTCATCTAAAGTCCGAGAGATCTGTTCCACACCGCTAGCCCCACACCCGGCCAACGGTGTGTTCAACTGCCGGCACCGTTGCGCAAGCAACAGTGACGCCTCAGCAGCTGATGGGTAGGGCGCAACATCAAACACAAGTGCGAGGCCACCACGTTCTTCACAGATCAACGAGTAAAGAGTCTAAACAGATCGAGGTACATGCCATTACATGTAGAAAGGGGGCATTGAACAACCATGACCTGTGTTTCCAACGTATCAACAATCGGCACGCTTGCTGCGAAATTACAGCCGCCGGGCTTTGTAGAGGCCTACCCGGCCAATCAGTGTACTGGCTGTAAGTGCGGGATGCCCCCAGCAAGCACGTTGGCGCATCGCCTTGCTGTCATTTGCCAGGCGCTGGCATTTTTGGCCTCAAGGGCCCCACAGACACACGCGACGAACCTGGAGGATGTCGTGCTTCTGGGGAAGGACATGCTGCCTGATAGTAGGTGAGATCATCCGCACGAGTCATCGAGGGTTCGGCGAAGATCTTCCGTGCCACACAGCTAGCCCGGAAACTGCACAACGATGTGTTCAACTGTCGCGTAAAGCTGTGCATCCGCAGGTGAGAGGGCGATACTATGCAAGCAATTAAGGCCGTCTAAACCGTGCTCTGTGACTTGGTCTTGCCACACATTGGGGGTGCACTCCGAGTTCTTCAGTCACGAGCCTATCGTGTCGATTTCAAACCATACACAGATCGAAGCCCAACACGAAGTAGTGGTGGTAGTAGTAGTAGTCGTCGTCGTCGTAGCAGTAGTAGTAGTGCCATGCTTGCAAGTGCGATGCCTTTGGGATAGAGCATGGCCGGAGCCCTAAACCTATGTAGTCCTAGCCCTCAACCGTCAAGACATCCCCAATGACGTGCACCTTTGAGCATGTATCGTTGTCTCTCTACATAGCTGACGTTTACTGTGTAAAGCTTTAAGGCTTCAAGGTGCAGCTCAAATTTCTTGTGCGCTGGCATCCGAAGCACCCTGTGCCGGCCTTTCCACAACTTAGGAACGTTGTGTTTAGCAAACGTCGCATTCAGCTTCGAACCGCAACCACACAGCAAGCGAGCTGTATGACTTGTTCTGTCTGGGCGGCGTTTCTGACCTGAGTGAAGGCCTTGAGGCGAATGATCAACTCTTCGTAATGTGGCAGGCCTCGGTGCGTAACATGTGGGTTGCAGAACATCCCTCGGGCTCCTAGTGTACATACACTATCTACTTTGGGGTCTAAAATCTACACTGGTCCTGCCTTGGGCTATTTGGAGCCACATCCTGCAGGTAACTGGACCTGTAGCACTGTAGGAAAGTGTCAGAATGGAAATCTCTGAGTTGCGGGACCGACCACGAGGTATTCAACAAATCCAAGTACGGCGGTCAATAATTTGAAATCAACACAGACTGACCTGCGCACCATCCATTCCGATAGACCGCCAGGGGTAACAGAGGCTCTGACACCATTGCATGCAGTAGAAGCAGGCCGAAAAGGCTACAATGTCGTCGGGGTTGACAACCTCAGGGCGGCATGCAACAGCCATGCCATCTATTGTTGCAGCTTGAGTACATACAATATACCAGTCCTTCGATACGCATCTGTCTAGCTATCTTCGTTGATTTCCCTGCGGTGCTGACGCATACATGCCTGCTTGCAAGCAAGCAGTGTTGCTGTATCGCTGCGAAGGAAAGTCTCGGAACAGAACTGTGAGGCACGCAGCGCACAGGGTGCTACTGGCCACCACAAAAATCACCCCAGACAGCTCGGATCCTAGTCCTGGACATACATATGTACATATGTATATATATATATATATATACATACATACATACATACACATGTATATACGCACATATAGAACAACGTATGTTCTTACACATAAACACACACACACACACAGATGTGTGAAAGTGCATGCATACATATATATATATATATATGTATATATGTATATATATATATATATATATATGTGTGTGTGTATCCGTATTTCGACCTATCTATACATATGGGCGGTTCTCAAAATTAGGGTCCCTTTTGGGGTACCCTAAATATTAGGTGCAGTATTATAATGAGGACCCAAAAAGGGACCCTAATTTTGACAACCACCCATATGTAATTACATACGTACATACATGCATACATACATGCATACATATCGCAAAACAGCACAACCACTCAGAAGCTGTCCTCCCGGGTACTGAGGTTCTGCAGCTTCTAGACCAATGGAGGGGCTTAGGGTTACATAGGGGCGTTCAACAACTCGCATAGAGCTTGCGGTTTTTTTGTATTATAGTTCTGAAGGATTGTAAGGGCATATTGCTACATATTCCTAAACTACACCCAAACTTGTCCGGTTAAACAGGGTGCCGGGGTCCCCTGCAAAGGAAAAGACTTGTCCCTACACTCTGGCTCTAACCCTGAAGTTCCCAACGCCTACATCACAGTCCTTCGGCTCTAAACCCACATGCGAAAACCCGAAGCCCAGAAGCCCATGAGACGCTGGCCTTGTTAAAATGGCATGCGAATGCGCAGAGCAACACCCAATGTACGCCAACAACAGCATAACACGAAGCACGTGCAGGCAAAAAGCGACGACTGACTGAAACGAGTTATGAGGTGCTGGTAGCATTGGCGGCCGAACTGGTAACTAAATCTAAACGAGGATCCGAAGTTGCTCCAGGGTTTGCTCTCTGTCATCCCGACACACAAACCCGAAAAGCTGCCTCGAGCCTGAAGACTGCCGTAATCGCGAAACCGCGAGGCAAACTAAGTAGCCCATGATGTATGAAGGAAGAGTTGAAGATGACAATGAAGCTGAAGGATCGTGGGAAAACGAAGGAACAGCTCCGAAAGCACTGCCCATGCTGCTTGCTTCATGCAGGCATTGAGGAGTTTGGGGCTTCCTTAGCTTAGGGCCCGCAACGGACTAAACCCTAACCCCTGAATGCCGTAGATGGCCTCGTCGAGAGCATTCAGGACCTTCGACCACTCGAAGTCGCACCTACCAGGACCCTCCTTGTACCCTCAAATAGGGGTATATGGTCCCAAATAAGGGGCATTTAGGGTCTAATAGAGGGTAGATGGAGGGTTTAGGTATGCTAACAATTTGCAGGCTTTGGGTCAGGGACATCGGGTTGAAAGTTTGGGAGTCAGGGTTTGGGGAAATTGTCTCGCATCTCTGGAAGTCTCTCTAATTAAGTGTTTTGGGTGTAGCGTTCGGTATATTTAGGGCCACGGGTGCAGGGCTTGGGGAGTTTGCAACAGGGACTAGGCAACTTCCACCCTACACACCACGAAAACCCCACTCTGAAATCTCAAGACATGCAAAACCCTTAACCCTAAGCCCGAAACCGCGCAACAGCCGCATAGTGAATCTCTACAAGCGGTATCTTTTTCATCAGCCGAAACGATCGACGATGCAATGCTCCAGCCCCCACCGTTTGTGGAGTCATGGGATAATCCTGGGCTCCCGAAGATGCCTGGCTTTCTTGGGCTTGCACAGCGCAGCTGCAAGGCAAGCTGGGTGGGTTGCTCTGAAATATGGCCCACTTCGGGGGAGCATTCAGAACATCCACAGAAGGATACGTAACACCAGAATTTGCGGGATCTGGACCCGGATTCGTCCATCTCATTCTTGAGATCAGGAACCCTTTCTGATACGGAAAAAGCTGTTGTTTGGGGGGGCTAGGGCCGCGGGAGTTTGGAGTCTCGAGCTGATTTCAGGTGGTGAATCAAGGTATCAGCCGCATCGAAGAGGCTGCGACCACCAAATGGAGTCTGGCAAACGTAACTCTGGCGGGATCGGCTCAGGGCAGATGCCGAAAACGAAGCCCGCGCCTAAGGGCAGCCACAGCAAGGTCGTGCAGATACCGAAAGAGACCTGCATCGGGGGTTGGCAGTGGATCCAGTCGAGCCGACGAGCGCCGTGCAGCCGCAGTGGTGGTAAATGTTCCTGTAGCCCTCGGGAATCCTTGCACATCACCTGTTTCGGGTGGAAAGGATGCAACTCCGCGTACAAGTGCTTCATGCCTGTCTGCCAAGGATCCAGAGGCAAGATGCGCAACAGCACGATCACATCTTCAAGCAGTTCCATGAAAAGGACTGCGGCATAGAGCACCAAGGTTTGGGGGTTGAACAAAGGTTCAGTGCGGAGGCCGATAAGTCGGAAAGCCATGTAGGAGATGTAGGGGATGAAGCGAAAATAGCCACAAACAACACGCGAATGACGGTGGACCATGCTGCAGCAGCCCGGTCGCACCCAAATGTGCATGCGTTTTGGTAGGACACGACGAAAGAAGCTGATGTGGTATCCATACCGAACTGCTACATTTGTGCTCAACATCATGAGTAGACCTGAGCTGACGGAGTGGATGGACACTTGAGGCGTATGCTTGTCCAAACCAACAATGCCAAACAACGCCTAGGAACTGACGACCCACTGCCAGTCCCATCCTTGACTCCGGGCAGCAACGCTAAGTAGACTGGTCAGGCGTGTGCTTTCCGCCTGCGCATGTGTAAACGCAATCCTTGGTTGACAAAATGCGGCAGCGAAGGCCAGCTAAGAGTAATCTAGCCAGAGTTTCCAAAGGTTCTTCTCTCATCCAAGACTCAAGACAGTGATGGCAGCATTCTGGTCGGCCAGCACGACATGCAGCTGATCGGCAAATGCACGCGGCCACACGTGACGCACGTACATGCTCTCGATCAAAGACACGGTCAGCAACTCCGTAACTGCGGTACCGAGGCTCAGAAAACCTGCCGCCAGGATCGTGCTGACACTGCCCAAGTACATGTAAACCACGATGATGCTCCACTGGGAAACCACCACGACCACGTTCATAGAAAAAAGGAAACCGGTCCACAGCACCTGTCCTTGAACATTCTTTCTCCTGCGAGTGTTGTAGGGTGATATGCGAGCAGGACGACTCAGCAAAGTGCCCACGACCACCTGTGCAAGTGACGATGTTTCGAAGCCAATCACCGTGTTCACGAAATACTGCAGTTTCCACTCGCTGAAACCGAGAACCCACGCCAGCTCCCAGAGAGTCCACACAAGGGAGCCCACAAGAAAGCCTACGACAGTTGATTTGCAATCCTGCTGGCAGCCGAGCAGGGAATCTGCCAGATGGTGCGACCAAATCTGCCCGGACACTGTCTGGATGCGGGCGAGGAGCCACCACCAGGCAATATCTCCGGGTTGGACGTGCCGGTCGTAGTGGTGGAGAAAAACGTAGCAACAAAAATTAGTAAAGAGGTAATATGCAACACCCATGGCGATGCTCGCCACACCACCTCCGTCGAAATAAATTTGTGGCAATGCCTCTTCTTGCTGAACCTGCACATCGACCGTCTCCATCCATCCCTCCCTCCCTCCTCCTGGTCGTAGTTGCGGCAGAACACCAGCCACCGGACCGACAAGCAGAACCGCACCTGACGGGATTTCATCTTGTCACTCCTGTCTTGAGTCTTGAGCTGAATTACTCGACTTTGAAGTATTCCGGGGAAAAAGGTATTTTGGCCCTCGTTTAATAATGGTTCATTTCAGGAACCGATCCAAAACAAAGTTTTCAAGTACAGTACTCCAGAACTGACCTAGCCGAAAACCACAAGGAGTCCACCCAACCTGATCAAGTCCGAAACCGTGAATCCAAAACTAAAGCCGCTATCCCGAAGGCATCACCCGAAGCCCGGAAGCCCAGAACCCAAAACGGCAGAAAAGACAAACCAAGCCAACCCCAAACTTTACACCGCAAGCCGAACAGCCTCAAACCCGAGGTCCTACCACCCCCGCCCACCCCCCGACCCCGGGAAAGGCTGGCTCGCTCAAGACTGTTGCAGCTAAACGAGAAAAAAGACACCTACACCAGGACAACAGATACCGGCGACACCAGAAAACAGTCACAAATGAGGCCCCTTCCGCACCTGACAGCTCCCACGTCACCGCATCGTGAAGCAGGACACGCACGCCAACCAAGTCCTGGCCCTGCAGAACGAGCTGATAGGACTCATGTTGTGCAAGAGCCACTATGTCTGGGCCGGTTCGCATGAACCCGTAGTCAGCACTTCCATAGCGATGCCGCAAACCTCGAACGTCAGGGCAGTCGATGCTTTCGAGCTTCGGTGGCTGCCATCGGAATGTTGAGAAGTCGAAAAGTATCTGGTCATGCTCACCCGGCTTGAGCTCGGTTGGGAGTGGCAGAGGTGGCCGGTCCGTCCAGAGGAGGCACGCCCTGCCCCCGGCATGCAACCGTCTTTGCAGAAGCCTCTCAGCTTCCGGGCCACAGCCGACGATGATGAGGTTCACATCCAGAAGCCTGCAGGCAGTCACCTCCTGAGGCTTCGGAGTTGGCGCAGCTGAAGTCCAGTGCTGCGCCATGGAGTCAGACGCTCATGGCTGGCACAGAGCATGCTAAACACCCTGGGAATCCCACTGCCGTACAGCTTGGCATCGTACAGTTGAGATCTATTGCTCCTCCTGACACGTGATGTGTACACACGCTTCTGCAAGGAGCCAACACATAAGTTGAACTAGGAGATCGGTTTACTTGAAGGCTTGTGGGCTGTTGCAAGCATTGCCATGAAAGAGCTTCATTCGTGTGGATACCCTCCTGCATCACACGGCCACAGGTTGCCAGTTGGCTTTCATGTTCGTGGGCCCCTGCAGATGATGTTTGGGATCAAACTTTGAAGTTTCCGAAAATAGGGGCGGCGCCGAAATATAGTACCCTAAATAGTAGGATCCTTACAATGAGGATCCCAAAGTAAGGCAACCTCTAATTCTCGGACTCTCGGAAACTCCATTTTCTGGTCAGAGCTAATCAAGTCAAGGCGGAGGACCTGCGGCTCAGGATTGTGGGGCGCTAGTGCTTCGGAGGACACAGGTTGAAGTGGGAGTTAGGGCCTGTGCTTCGATAAGGAAGGTAAGGATTAGAGTACATCGGAGCTCTTCTTGTTTAGGGTTCAGGGGTTTGCAGTTTGGGCCTTCAGGTGGGGTTCAGTCGCCTTGTTTCAGAAAACACATATAGAAGATGCGGTGCCGCGGTCTCTGCTCGCCAGTCAGACGGCAGGAGGAGGTGGAGTGGAAAAGCCGGCAACAAGCTTGAGCTCACGGGTCGGGGCTTGCGACGGAATGCCTGCAGGATCCAACCGGGAGCTTACCTGGAACGCCTTAGGACCACTTAAAGAAGATCAACTATCGAAAGGTCCTGCTAAATCTGCCACAGGAAGACACTCTTCTATCGACTCTGAGCCCATCGCGCATGGTGTGCCGGCCAGCTGTAGTTGTAAACCTGACGATGTCTGCATGACCACCGGCCGAAGTAGATCAAGGTGGCACTAGACTAGTCACCAGCCAGCAACACCATCTGTACAAATAGTACTCGCAGTAGTAGTCGTAGAAGTCGTCGTCGTACTAATCATCGTCGTAGTAGTGGTGGCAGCAGTAGTAGTAGTAGTAGCAGCAGTAGTAGTAGTAGTAGTAGTAGTAGTAGTAGTAGTAGTAGTCGAAATAGTAGTAGCAGTAGCAGTAGCAGTAGCAGTAGCAGGAGCAGGAGCAGGAGCAGGAGCAGGAGCAGGAGCAGCAGTAGTAGTAGTAGTAGTAGTAGTAGTAGTAGTAGGAGCAGTAGTAGTAGTAGTAGTAGTAGTAGTAGTAGTAGTAGTAGTAGTAGTAGTAGTAGTAGTAGTAGTAGTAGTAGTAGTAGTAGTAGTAGTAGTAGTAGTAGTAGTAGTAGTAGTAGTAGTAGTAGTAGTAGTAGTAGTAGTAGTAGTAGTAGTAGTAGTGTAGTGGTAGTGGTAGTGGTAGTGGTAGTGGTAGTGGTAGTGGTAGTGGTAGTGGTAGTGAGAGCGGTAGTGGTAGTGGTAGTGGTAGTGGTAGTGGTGGTGGTAGTGGTAGTGGTAGTGGTAGTGGTAGTGGTAGTGGTAGTGGTAGTGGTAGCGGTAGTACCAGCAGCAGCAGTAAGCAGCAGGAGGAGTAGTAGTAGTAGTAGCAGCAGTAGCAGTAGTAGCGGCAATAGCAGTCGCGGCAGCAGTAGCAGCAGCGGTAGCGGTAGCAGTAGCTAGCATAGCAGCAGCAGTAGCAGTAGCAGTGGCAGCAGCAGCAGCAGCAGCAGCAGCAGCAGGAGGAGGAGGAGGAGGAGGAGGAGTAGTAGTAGTAGTAGTAGTAGTAAAAGTAGAAGTAGAAGTAACAAATGATATGGATGTAGAACTAGTAGTAGAAGAAGAAGTAGAGGTAGAGGTAACGGTAAAGGTAGAACTACAAGAAGTAGTTGTGGGAAATGTAGAACTGAGAGTAGGAGCAACAGTAGCACTAGTTGTAGCAGCAAGAGCGAAAGACAGAGCAAGAGCCAGAGCAACAGCAGTAGATATGGGAGTTTCCGAAAATAAGGGACCCTAGTATAATACCCTACATAGTAGGATCCTTACTTTCAGGATCCCAAAATAAGGTACCCCCAATTTTCGGAAACTCCCATATAGCTGTAGCTGTCGCTGTAGCGGCTAGCGGCTAGCAGTCGTCGCTCGGAACACCTCATTTAGGCTTGCGAATATACATATATATATATATAGAGAGAGAGAGAGATGTGTATATACGTATATGTACATATACATATAGAGGTATGTACCTATACATATGAATATGCAATTGTTGATGTTCTCTTTTTTAAACTGGCACACCTAGATCCACAACGGACTTTCTTCTCCTTTGTTGCAGTACCTGCGATAAAAAATCAAGTCAATGTGTAGAGCAGGGGAAGAAGCCTGAAATGCAGCGAGGCGGCATTGAGGCCAGCTGCATTCGCACTCGGAGTAATGCACGGCACAAGGCCAAAGGAGTGAGAATCCCCAACCAGCCAAATGGCTCCTCAGTCCAGATGGCTTCCAGTTGCAGGCTGTCTTAGCAAAGAACTAACAAGCTTCTCAAACCCTAAACCGCAGCCGGCTTAGCCGTGATCCTGAACTGAGGAGTTCCCTTGCTTTACATCCAGGGTCCGGAAACTCCTGTCGTGCATCGAAGGCGACGGCCATTACTACAACTATCAGGCACTGATACGCACGCGTTACTGCTATGCTATGCGCAGTGGGCAGTGCTGCCGAGACGCAGTTGTGACTAACCCCCACGGATCCAGCAAGTTCAAACCTCCTCTCAAAGGGAAACGAAACCCCCATGCAGACCAACACGAACGGTTGGTCTGCGTTCCCAATATAATCACAAAAGCCAAGAGCCATCGAATATATTTACAAAGCCATGCATACATACAGACATGCCACCCGCGCACATGCACACATACATGCATACATACCTACCTACGTACGTACGTTGGTAGGTGCGTACATACACACAGAAGTGTGTACATACAGAAACGCACGAACACGCGTACAAGTCGTACAAGTATACACATTGGGGATACCTTATTTTGAGGTCCTTATAATAAGGCCCAAACCCTAGACCCTCCTTTCCTGAGTTTGAAAGTCAGATTAGACTTTTGGTGTATAATTGTACCAGCCTGGGTAGCTTGAATAAAGTCGTAGACATAAACATATATGTGTACATGTACTAGAAAGACCTGCACACGTACAGCACGAGGTACATGTCTGCACATACGTGCATGTTCAGAAACATAACATATGCTTATGTGCATGTACCGGTACATCTGCACATGTTACACATGCATATGTGTGTGTATATATACATGCATTAAGCATATAGACATATATACACATATACAACAGACAGGCATACATACATGCACACACAGAAAGTGTCGGTCGGTCTCTCTCTCTCTCTCTCTCTCTCTCTCTCTCTCTCTCTCTCTCTCTCTCTCTCGATATATATATATATATACACACGTATAGAATATACATCCGCGCAAACATTTGTGCAACTACGTATACCTACGTATATCTGATCCACATTCCAACACACATACATATACGCGCATGTACATGCTTACATGTCAACATCTGCGCATGTAGTCACACAGGCATATACATGGAGACGACATGTTGGTATGTACACGTACATGTGCATCTACATATGCAACATACATAATTACTCATGTGTACAAAACACATACCTGAGTTGCATATATACAAACAGCCGTGCATGAAAGCATACTTGCATACTTACATACTCGCACACTTGCATACTCACATACACAAATGCATACATGCACACACATGCATGCATGAATGCATGCATACATTCCAAGTATGCACAGGCGCATACGTATGTACACATGTACTCACACACGTATGTACATACGTACATGCTCAGTCCATGCGTACACACATATACGTACATACATATATTATAAGTACATGTACGTACAGACATATGTATCCTATACAGGGTTCCGGGTACTGTGGTACAGGGCCGGGAGGGGGGGTTGCACTCCCCCAAATCATAACACTGATTCTTGATCTTGATATTCATACATTCTGCCTTACAGGTACTCAAGACACTTCGGGTATGTGTACATGTAATTTGCATACGCCGATATACATTAAATAAGTGCCTCTATATAGTTACAGTAAAACAAACTTGCAACTTTATAAGCCCTACTTACTATACATGCCTACCTACCAACCTACCTGCCTAGCTACATGAGCTTTTACATATACATACATATACATACACAAAAGCATAAACGTACACATACACATACTTTTACATACTTATACAGGCATACATACATACGCACGTGAATGCCTGCATGCATACTGTATAGCATACATGCATCCGCACACGCACATATACACACACATGGTATGCAGTAAACACACTGTGTGTACAGACGTACATACGTACGTACTCTTATACATGCATATGCACCCACATACACTGTAACTGCAAACACAGTCTCATCCCATCCCTTCCGTTGCTATGCCATGCCATGCCATCGCATCCATCCATCAACGCACACTTAGGCATTGACACCCTGGTGCAACCTTATAACTGTACGTACGCAAGCGGTGTCAGCGGTGGAGTTTCTGCTGGCAGGTGTCGACTGGGAGTTCGCTGAGACTGTGGTGTCAAGCACCGACTCAAGATCTCCTGTCGTGGAGGATTTAAGGTTGTCTTCTAGAGTGAAGGGGTCGGGAGGTGGAGGTGGTTGGAGTAGTTCCAGCAGGCGAGGTGGGACGGACCCAGGCAGGTGGACTAGGCTTGAGCTTCCCGTGCTCAGGGGCTGAGAAAAGCTTCTGTGCGAAGCGCGGATAAAAGGGATTCACCTCGGTGGGCCGGTCACATCTTTGTTTCAGATATGCGTACCTGGCCGGTCTATCCCGGCTCAGCATTCGTCAGTCCCAAAGTGAAATTTCAACCTTTCGCACGGGAGTTTGTAAGATTAACCTAGCTGAATCTACGATTGCAGCTCAGACCGAGAGTTCTCGAGTGTTCTGCGTCTGAAAAACGGAAGACGAACAAAGACAGAAATGAGCTCACATCTGCCGTGTGCTAATGAGTGCATCTACTACTCGCCAGAAATCAGTGCCGATAGCAGGATGCTCTCTCTTCCAGCCGATTGCACTAGACATTTGCCCAGAAGGCGTGCTATGCACAACTTGCAGGTACTTAATAAGACCCTTTAGACACCGTACTGTACCATGCACCCAAAACTTGTTCATGCCTCCTCAGTCAGCTGCACACCCAAGCAGTTCTCGTGGCCCCAGGGCACCTCGAGGGCGAAGAGTGTTGAAGGCTTTCCACAATCGATATGGCCCCATGAGCCTGTAAGAAGATCTTAGCATGGGCATTGCGGTTGCGGACTAGGGCCCAGGGTTTGGATAAGGTTTAGTTTAGAGTTGAGGGTTGTGGGTCGATCGATGGCTGTCGACCTTGGATCCTCATGTCCTCACGTTCTGGCGCGACAGAGAAGTTTCATGAGCGGCATGGTGGGAGCCCGCGAATTGGTTCTGAGTTGGAGGGGCTATCCACTCCGATCGAATCGAACTTGCTCGGACTACCTGGAAGCTGTTGAAGCATTAAGAACCCGAGGCCCCAAACCCCTCAACCAATGAAGCCCTAATCCCAAACCGTCAACTTAAACCGTAAACCTAAAGCCCGTATAAAAGCCTTAAGCTTATGCCCTGAGCAAGTTATGGATGAGGCAAGGGTGGCACCCAGGGACTCTTCAACTTATGGGTTTACGGTTTTAATCATAGCCCTCCCAAGCCGTTCCACTTCAACATGCGTTCCAGTTCGAAACATGGTTCTGCTTCAGGTGTGTCTTGTGTGTTCTACATCGCTCTTTATTGCTCGAGTTTGAAGTTGGGCGGCCATGGATCATCCGGTGCTGAGGGGTTTGCCGCCTTGGCTTAAATTTATGATCAGCGAGTTTTTCCCTGTCGCTTTGGAAGACGGCTACATGTCGCAGAGCTGCTCAAAGAGAGACTTGGACGTTGTCGTGTTCTGCAGCTCCGGGCAAGTTTTGGCCGATGAGTGTCTCACTGCACCTAAGATGAATATAGCAGCAAGAACTCTGTTTGGATGTGAGTAGTAGAGTACTTCCTTGTTGATTTCTAAGCAGAAACTGCAAGCAATCCACTGAGGCGGGCTTGTCAACAGCGTGCATGGCGAGTGACTTGTCGAGCTGGGAGATGAAGAATTCCAGCTACTGGGCTGATATCTCTCAAAGTTCTAGGGGTGTTTCGGGAAGATAAAGGTTATTATGTAACATGTCAGACGGAGACTTCGTGGGATGAGGGTCGGTTTTCAGTGGTCGTTTTGGAGGATGATCTTTTGCATACCGGTGTTCTCGGTATATCCGGTGGCAGTCTCGGAGATATGCAGTAACCAGGAAATCTCATCCCACCGCATGTCGCGGGGTTGAATGCGGCTGTATGTATGATACGCGGACTAGCCGCGAAGGATGGGCCGTGAAGCTAGTCTTGTCAGTCGTGAATCGGCATCTGCGGACTCGCCGCGGAGCTGCCAAACCCGCAACATCGCGGACTAGCCGCGGAGGATGGACCGTCGTGAGTCGGCATCAGCGGACTAGCCGCGAAGCCTCTACCCTTAAAACGCGGACTAGCCGCGAGGGCTGGGCAGCGAATCCAGCATACTGTGCTGAGCCGGCATTAGCGACTAGCCGGTCGCGGATTAGCCGCGAATCAAAGAACGGTCAGCGAAGCTACATTGTCGTGTTTCGGTGTCAGCGGACTAGCCGCGATTTCCGAGTCCATCGGCTCTTCTTCCAGGGTCGCGGACTAGCCGCGACTCTGCGAGGAAAGCTCGCGGCTGAAAGAGATTGGCATATGTTTGTCTGAGTTATCCGCATCTCATGTCCTGCACAGACCACTTGGCAGGATAGTAGCATCCCCGATATGACTGAAATGTGCTTCACATGTCACAGCCTAGGCTTGAGCCTCTTGCTCCGAGTCCGTATGGGAGGACTTCGATGGTCATGTCCTGAGAAGGTCCCAAGCAGGGAGAATCTGGGCATTGAGGAGTCAGTGACACGTTGAGTTCATAATATGTGTATATATATATATATACATGCATATATAGATATTATTGTATATATGTGCAGGTGTGTGTATATATATATATATATATATGTTTATTCATTTGTATATATTGTAACCACAAACCATCAGTATCTGAGGAACATGATCGCTGGGCGGCCAGCAGACAGACGACTCCAGGGCCTCGTTGAAGCTTGGGCAGGATGTGTTCCGGCTAGGCCAATGGTTTCAATCGGGTAGCCAGTTGTGGCCGCAAACTGAGGAGCTGGAGTCACACATGATGCAACTATGTTGGAACATAGGCGTGTTCAGCGTCACGGAGCAGCCCCGCAGCAGCGGGCTGTTTCAGGAGGGTCCGATTTTGGTGCCTCGACTTGTCTCGAAGAATAGAGGTGCACCGAAACATTTCTCCATATGTGACCTCCACTCTTCTCTCTGAGGCGTCCGTCGATGCAACCGGCAGCGAGAAGACCTGCCTGTTCATGGGGTCCTTTGCCCACAGCCTGATGCTGCCAGGCTGCAACGTAAGCCACAGATAGGAGGGCAATGTTAATGGCAAGGGAGAGGATGATAAAACATTCCATTCATCATTTTCACTCATGTATCCCAGGATGCCGACGTCCTTGGTCGGTACCCACTTGTATCTCATGAGGGCCCTGGCTGCAGTTTCCAAGCATTTTGACATGCGCAATCTGCCACCCGGCTGACCGTCTGAAGTGTGGGCAGCTCGCATGGATGAGTGTTTCAAGTTGAAAACACTGCGGACAAGCTAAGGTTTCTGAACCGTGCGACCACGGTGAGAGCAGCCTCTTTAAGAGGCGACGTGAGGGCGTGCCAGGGCTACACAAAGACTTTCGGATGCGCTGTCACCTGGCTGCCATGATGCATGGCTGCTGTATATTCGTTCTTCTGCCGTTTGCGCTTCCCGAAATCACCGAAGGTTGGCACGCTGCTAGAGTGGCGAAACCACAACAATCCCAATGATTTGCTGGAACTCGCGCCGGTTTTGATTCGGACATTGGTGGGACTGTTGACTTCGCTGGTCGCTTGTCTCACACCCAATCTAGACTTAGACACCCATCCTCAAGGTTTATCCAGATGGTTTCCTGCTTTGGGTTGTTTTTGCTTCCCCGTCCAAGGATAAGGATGGCCAGAAAATGCTGGACATCCGGCAGGCGAGGGTGTACGATGCCCGGCCATGGAACTTGGCCCTTCTGCATCTGCAGGCCCTCCAGGCCAGATGTGCATTTGCTTTTGCGCTTGCGTGTCAGTGTATTCTTCATGATATCTGGCGAATACGGATTGTTGCGGCACAAGTGATAATAAAGCCGAAGTTCGCGGTTTGTGTGTTCCTCCACGTCACACTCAAGTCTGATAATAGTCTGATGCTGGACGCCCAAGCGATTCACACACATACGGGGTACTGACACGCAGATCCTTGTTTCAGGTAAGCCAGTTGATGCCGCCGCAGCCTCCTCAGCAGGCCTTGCATACGCAAGACGTCTGAGCGGAGTTTTCATTTCAGTTCCTTCGAATTCGGGCGTGGAGAGTTGATATTCAGCGAAGCAGGACTACATCGACGACGATGCAGCCCCTGGCTTTGACCGGGATTGGGAGATATTGGCGTCTTGTCTGATAACAAGTCCGCTGATGCTCCGTTCTGATCTGGCTGGAGGTTTGCTACTTGACTCGTGTGATTTGTGACCTGGTGGTTTACAGTGTCGTTTTTTCACGACACTTCGTAAGGAAGAAGCAATCCACTCGGATGAGGATTGATGGAGACCCCTCTCATGGGCCTCGAGGACTGTCTGTGAAGTTCTAGAGTTGGTACTCCTGATTGAGCGAAGGTTTGTTTCCGGCTTGTTGAAGCACCCGTGTGCTCAATCAAACTCATTAACGCAGACACGAGTTCGCTTCTAGTCTAGTACCATGTGACGTACCAGTACCAGCATCTGTGTTTGTCGACGCATGCAGCAGGATACAAGCCACCGCAGGCCAGCGGCTCTCGGAGACCTGGCCTATCTTGTTGTTTCAGGGGTCGCTCTGGGTAAAATCACCGCGAGCACAGAGTCTCATGTCCTCTAGGATTGGTTGAAGCATGGCGTTTGCATTGAGGACAAGTCTACGGCAAGCGAGTTTTCTGGACCTTCGGATTTTGGGCTGTCGCCTTCTGATTCTGTCAGCATCCACGGAGTCTGGTGCTGGCATCCGCGAACATGAGTGAAGGGGTTCAGCCGCTCGAGAAATATGCGAGAGCAGGTTCACTGAGAGTGTGCTGCTTGCCGCAAGCAAGCCCCAGCCTTCCGTGTTGTATACGATATAGCAGAAACATGAATAGATGAATGTGGCATGTGCCCACCTGGCGGTTAGTCCGCCGGTGAATTACTACCCACTGTTTTGTCATGGCTTGTGACGTTGCGGTGTAGCCACGATATAGGCCCTGGTGTTGCGGACTAGCCGCGACCGCAGCGGAATTGCCGCGATGCAGGCTTTGGTGTTGCGGACTAGCCGCGACTGCAGCGGAATTGCCGCGATGCAGGCTTTGGTGTTGCGGACTAGCCGCGACTGCAGGGGAGATCCATGACATGATTCCTGTCGCGATTTATCTCCGACTCCTGCTCGAGCCTCGTGCCCGGGCCTTTGGAACTTCTTCGTCCCTGCATTGTCTTGGCGATCGGAATGCGCAAGACCGTGAGCAGGAGAAGTTTGTTGCCAAGAATATGAACTGTTTACTTGTTGGTGGATATAGCCTCGCTTTTCTAGTCTGCCTGGTGTCTTGCAGACATCGCACCCGTCCGCCAGGACCCTTTCTACGAAGTCCCTGGAAGCGGAACCCGAGAAAGAAGCTGATGCAGCTTCCCGTTTTCTGATGTCAAGTGCTCACAAGCGTTTGACAGAGTTTCTTGGTCCAGGCCAGGCAGTGAGCACTTCTTGAACAAATTTTGCTTCGAGTTCTTGCCTGCAGGTATGGCAGAGGAGCAGACCTCCCAGAAGAAGAAGGAAAAGAAGAAGGACAAGAAGAAGGGCAAGAAAAGCCGCCGCCCCAAAGGTTTCCAGGCTTTCATAGTTTCATTTTTTGTCACTGAGCAAGCAAGGCTCGAGCAGCGAAGTTCCCGACACAGACTCGGAGGAGCAGGAGGACTGGGAAGACATCACATCGATATTTGGATTGCCGCAGAAGGACATCAGCAGGTCTCCCAAGCAAGTGAGGCTTGAAGACCTCAGTGCCAGACAAGTGGCCGTCTGCTTGTGTAACGTCACCAACCAACTGCCCGCTGCGGAACTTATGTCGGTCGGAGGCGAAACCGCACCTTGCCTGCATCTGCTTACCATCCTGTCGCCCCTTCCTGCTAGCTGCTAGCTTCGCAAGTACATGTAGTAAGTTCCAGATGACCAGGATCTGCTGGCCACTGGCTTTCTTTAACTGTAGGCTTGAATAATTGCGATTGTTTTGCTTCATAAGATTGCTACCGTACGTGTTCTGCGCCTAAGGAAGCACTTCTGGTCAACAAGGCCAAGGGGTTGAGAAGAATGAAGGACAAGGGCAATCAGAATCAAGCTCTCAACCAGGCTGGTTGATTGGTTTGTCGGTATCCATCTGTGTGTTCTGTTGCTCTCCTCCTTGCTCGTTTTGATTGAAGGCAATGGCGGCAGGCGTGACTTGGAAAAGGCGGATGGCCAAGCTATGCACCCTCGGTCGCTTGTCCCAAAATAGACCTCGGTCAGACTAGGCCGTGCCGGCACCGTTGCATATCTGCGGTCGCTTGTGAGATTCTGCAGCAGCTCAGTTTGCGGGAAGAATCCTGCCCAAATCAACATCACCAACGCGTCAAAGTTGCACGAAGTCACGCCGCTGCTTCGCTCTCTGAAGAAGACTGCAGACAGGACCGAATCACAGGACGTTCTGTTGAAGGTTATTAGAATCAGAAGCTCCTCTTGATTCTTGCATGCAGGAAGTCTGGGAGGAAAGCTGCAGACTTTGCAGCTGAGATCAAGGATCTGCTCCGAGCGATGGTCCAGGAGACTTCTGCTGCTTGTGCACGATGGGGGTTACTTAAGGCATGGAGTGCCAGCACCTGTCCACTCAGCAATTTTGAATTTGCGGAGCGTTCTTGCCGCAGCCTTCTGTCTCGCAGCTCCCTTTTCCGTTGCACCACAGGTGCGTTCGTGTGCACTGTGCACCATGTCGTCCAAAGCCAGAGACTTCGACATCCCCCGCGATGTGCTCGACAAGATGTGTGATCGTTTGGGCGGTTACTTGGACAGGAAGAAGTCGGAGAAGGAGCTTTCCCTGGATGCCAGGGAAGCCGATGTGGCCCGTCGGGAGGAGAAGGCGGCGGCCACGCAGAAGCAGCTAGATGACTGGCACTACAACCTGAAGGCCAAGGAAGAGCGCCTCAAGGACAAGGAAGATCGTCTCCAGGCCCGGGAATCATGGTGGCACCACGATTACAAAAGACAAAAGGGTCCCCAGGGCAAGCACAACCCCGGCGGAAAGGGCTGGCGGTAGACTCTGGTAGATTCACAGCTTCCTTGGAGTGCCAAAAGAGAAGATTTTGCAGCTTGCACGCCTGACGAGCGAAGCTTTTCAAGTTTCCAGATCCAGTATGCTTGCTTTAACCGGTTGCCTGCAAAGACAAGAGATCGTGCTGCAGCTTGAGCAACCTGTTTCGGTCATGTAACGTTGTGGCTCAAAGCTTCAGGCTATAGGCGTCAACGGGAGCCGTGCCTCCCATGTCTCTCGGCATGGAGCAGATTCTGACGGCCTTGGCTCAGATGCAGGCGAATGCCCCCGCAGCTTCGACCACAGCTCCACTACAGCTCAGCAACCCGATCCTGCAGCAGCTTTTGTCCGAGGCAGCTCGACCCAAGCCTCAGTTTGAGGCTCAGGCTGTGTTGCCGCCAAATATTGCCCAGATGATTGCAGTGCAGCTGAAGAAAGAAATGGAGGCATCTGGGCAGGGCGTGCAGCAGCCGCAGCCGGAGAGCCAAGCTGTTGCTGCAGACAAGCAAAAGGCTCCTCGTGCAGAAAAGCAACAGGCTCCTGCTGCCAACGGCCCCGGTCCGAGCCGGATGCCTGGCGTGGGGTCCGCGAAGGGGCCGGCTTCCGGCAGCATGGTCCGAGAGTCTGACATCATGGATGTAACGGGTGGAAAACCTTGGACCAAAGCTGATGCGAAAACTAAGGTGGAGGACAAGCCGAAGCCAGAGAGATCCGTGCTCTCGCTGTGCAAGATCATGACTTTCGAGTATGTGGACAACCAGATGGTCGAGGTGTATGCTCGAGTGATCAACAAGCCTGGCTTTAAAAGAAAAGCCCCGGAGGCCCCGGCAAAGCTGCCGGCAAAGGACGACCAGGAGCCTGCGTTTGAGGAGGAGACTACTGACGCAGACGATGACAAGGACGCGCCCCAGAGCAGCATGAAGCCGCCGGAGCCGAATGGGTTCCTCGCTGCATTGTCACAAGCGAAGTTTGCATTTTATCGCTCCCCTCTTTTGGTGCTTGTCTTGCTGTGATTGAGTTTGTTTCGATTCGAGGCACCCACCGAATGACGATCGCAGCAATCGGCAAAAGGAAGCAGACAAGAATGGGGGACTCAAGCGTCAACGCGGCGGTCAAAGGCACAAGTGAGGAGGGCCATGGAGGGCCTGTGACTTTTCTTTTCACCTTTGCTGCCCGGAAAGGCAGCGGCGAACGCCATGTGCTGTAGATAACTACAGGAGTTGCTCCGTAGCCTTCTGAGTCTTGCAGCTTCGACTTTGAAAATATGCATACTCGGTCTTGCATACTACGATATGGAGCATGTGCACCTTCGCTACTGTTGCTCCTTCACAGTACTGGTAGTGTCCTGTATCAGGAGGCCACCGACGACGTGGCCAAGCTGCACCGTGAGAGCGAGGCGGAGGCCCTCTCTCCCCGTCGCGGGGCAGAGAGGCCAAAGTCAAAGCCCCTTTCCAGGAAGAAGAAAAGGCGATGTGCAGAAGAGACCGTGCCTACACCAAAGGTTACGCCGAAGCGGCTGAAATTTTCGGAGCCAGAGCCAGATGCATCGGAGGACCCCGAGGAGGACGGCGAAGACGACGATGATCAGGAGGAGGAGGTTGAGGAGCCGGGCAGCGAGGATGACGATGTCTTCAATGGCCCGTATGCCCTGAAAGACAAGCCCAGAAAGCAGCTGAAGGCCATCGAGGATAAGCCGCCGCTGGCACTCGAGGATGAAGCGAAGGAAGCAAGGCCGGCAGAAACTCCCCAGTCGTGTGGCCTGGATTCCCTGCCTCGTGACCTTGGCAACAAGCTCAAGAAGCTCAGCGGCGATCTTCTGGAGACTCTGACAGGCGACTTTGGATCGCAGCTTGCCTGCGTGAAATAATTCAGAACTGCTGTTCCGTATTCTGTGACCTGATTCCTTCGCCGAGGTCTGATGTGCCCCATGTCATTGCTATCCTGGATGGAGAGCAGATTTATAGCCTCACGGACGCCTTTGACGTCCTCCTGGATGTTGAAGGCATCTTTCGCACTTGCATGTGTATATACAGGCATCGTGGGCTGCTCCGCTAGCGTGAATGTAACTGCATGAGGTGAACTTCCTGGCATCCTTGGCGAAGAATCCAAGGATGCAGCGAGCAAACTGACGCTCCGAGGAAAGAAGATCTTGAAGCGCTGGCCCCAGCTACTCAAGGCCAGACGCGGCTATTCCGCAATTCCGCGCATTCCTGGCCTTTTGCAGCCTGTGCAGGCCAAGAAAGAGGAGATGGGCGACTGACGCCGATCTTCGCACCTTATTTAAAAGGAATCAGTTTGTTTTCGAATGTTGTGCCCGCTGGGCCATGGCTGCGTCCGTTTGGGGGAATCTACCTAGGCTGTGGAGTTGCCTTTTGACTGAACGAGCAGCCTCGCGACGCAGGAGGTCACTCTCCGCTTTTCGCAGCCGGGCAGCAGAATTCGGCCTTCGTTTCAGAGTATAGAGACAAATTAGTTCTTGAGCACAGATGTCGCTGCACTGTTGGTTTGTGGGCAATACAGAATTCACGAAGAAGCGGGGTTCGTTATCACGAAAGGCCTGGAAGGTCACGAATTTGCAGGGTTGCGGGCCTTTTCGGAATATGTTTTTTGCTGCTTCGGCAGCCCCCCAAACCCTAAATCTCAGACCCAGACTGAAACCCTAAACCCTAAACCGTCAACCCTCATAAGTGTCGGCAGTGTGGGCTTGTTGCATTTGTTGTTTCCGATCTCCTTACTCGTACCTCTCCCAGATCGTAATCATCAACCCCATAAGACCCTTCGGAATCATTACAGAAACCCCCGGGGCTCAGGTCTCCAAAGATACATTTCCAATATTTTCGAATCCAAACGAAGCTGTTCTGTGGTGGGGGGTGCAAAGACAATTGTTCCTAGTCCTGCAACCAGGCTTGTTTTTCAACCCAATAGACACTTTCTCGTTTGGGTTGCAAAGGTCCGAAATTTTTACCGATCCCGCCCCCAAAGTGGCAATTAGAAGACCCATGGTAATTGTATTGTAAACCGCAGAAATATAAGACCAATTCCCGTAAATTTCGTAACGCAGATGTTGTTTTCGTTTGCCTGCACCATAGTTCGTGACGGCGAGCATGAAAGTGTGTTTCTGGTTCAGCTTCACAAGGTTGATATGGCCCCCGTAGCACAACTTTTACTTGGAATGCCTGCTTGGCCAAAACCCCAAACCCTTATCAGATTGAGCGGGTCAGTCATTGGCCGAACTGGGTAGCAAACCGCAAACTGACTGAGTGCTTCGCCGTAATCCCAAATCCTAAACTTCCCTGAACGGACTGATCTGCTTTCCCAAGTAACAACCCCAAACATTCATTAATAAGTATATAGGATAGACAGGTGGCACTGCTGGCAAACCGAAGTTGGCAAAAGGCCACCCCAAGCTAGGCAATTTGAGTGGGGCCCCGCACTGAAGCAGCCCAGATAATCTCCCCAGGCCAAGCCCCGACACCTTGAAAATGAAACGGCGGCCTTGGACACTTTTTTTTGGGGGGGTGGGGTGGTTGAGTAGGCATTATTGCTCCCTGCCCGACACCCTGAAAGGACGGTAACTATAGGCCCCGGTTAACTGAGCTTTGGAGTTGAGTTGAAGGATTTCTTGCCCCGTCACGGATAATCAGGCAGAGCGAAACCCCTTCACCAAAGCACCCACAGGACACCATTGACCTCACTGTAAACAGCCGATCTGAGGACTGCTGCTACTGCTGGGTGGTGGCCCAGTGGTGGCCAATTAAATTGTGGCGTCGAGCTTTTGGGGCTACCTGTGACCTGCTGGACAGGGCGTCCGGACGGGCCTCCAAAAAGCACTTGCTGTCAGTTGATCCAACAGTGTGTGATGCGTGGCCATCCGATGTGCTGTTTCTTTCCATCAGATTCGCTATCCTGCTGCCGGGCCGCCTGGTGCTCACAGGTAGTTTCTTCTTCACGGTTCAATAATGGTATACCTCGCCCAAGCCTTTGATAAAACTTTAATCACTTCCGTCGCAGGCCAGGCCTGGTCTTTTTCAGCATCCACTGCATGGATCCAGACTCCAGAACAAGAGAACAGAGAGTACCCGTATCGAAATCCCAGCAGGCAAATGAGCCTCCGCTCCAGTGCTCCCAAAGTAAATAAATTAAACAATCCTCACGGAAGCGCTTCCGCTGGCCTGAAGCCCCGAGGCAAGACGTGGCGTAATATCGGTGTTTGCTGTGTTCATGTGTAAATCTTGGCCCACAGGAGAGCTCCTTTTCCGAAGACTCCCAGAGCAGAGGCCGGCCGCGGGGGGACCTGCTTCCTGAACCCCAAAATGTCCGACCTCACACAAACCGCCCGTGCACGGTTCCTGGCTTCTAGAACAGTCAGAAGGTCGCCACAGGAGCCCGTGCCCCGAGGCCCATCCCGGGTTCCTGCCTTGTAGTACAGATAGAAGGCGAGGGCTTGGCCCGCGACATTTCCGAGGGTTCCAACGTTCTGCTTGCGATAGGCAGCGTTCTGCTTCGGCTCCGAAAGCGCGGGAGCGTTCTGCTTCGCCGAGCGTTCTGCCTCAACGTTCTGCTTGAGCAAAAAAGTTTTCGCACGTGTCCGCCACCGTGCCAAAACACGAACGCTGAAGCAGAACCATGAAACGCAAAATCTCTTAGAAACCAAATTATTGAGTGTTTCAAGGAAATGCAGAAATAGTGCGTTCTGCCTCAACGTTCTGCTTCAACATAAAAGTTTGTGCACGTGCCCGCCACCGTGCCATTTTTTTTTCTGAAACACACCAAGCAGAACCGTTGTCTTAGGGAAACGGGCCAAGCAGAACCACTGTCGCAGGAAGTCACGCGGAGCCATGGACAAATGGCTGTCCACCAAGCTGCTGGAGATCAGAAGGACCCTCGGCACTTTTAAAAAGCCCCCAACGTTCTGCTTCGTCCTAAGGTTCTGCTTCGTTCATGCAACGTTCTGCTTCGGTTACCTAAGGACAGAGGACAAGGAAGAAAGGACCAACCTGATCGAGAAGTTCTTCGCGTTTCTCGATCTTGTGGATGACAAGATCGACAGAAGAGAGCCGATCTCTGCGAGGGTCGGTTCTGTGTCAAGAGCAACCTGGGAGGTTGCTTGGAGGCGTGCCATGCACGCTTTTTTTGGTGTGGACTCAACATCAGTCTGCGAACTGCGTAACTCCAACCAACCAAGGCTCTCCTCGACGACTTCAGAATGGACGCGGCTATTCTGCAAGTCCCCCTGCGACCAGCCAAGCCGCAGAAGCCAAACGACGCAGCCTCCGACAGCACGCCCACTTCTGAAAGCCCTGCCTCGTCCCTACCTGCCGGCCCTCACACGGACTACATCGTCAAGTATCTGCGAACCCAGCAGGGTATATTGCAGGTCCACATAGCATCTCGACTCCTGCTCATATTTTTGTTTCTGCACCTTGCCGTCTTGTTTCCTGGCCAAACCGATGAGCCCAGGTTCCCAGTGCAGCCGACTTCACTCAGGGCTACACATGCCTGCTGCGTGTGAACGAGGTATGGCCGCAATTGTCCAGGAACCAACCTTTCCCGAATTGGTACTGCAAATTGCGACTTGCCTCAACTTCAGACCACAGGCAGGCGAGCTGTGTGACCACAAGCTGTTGCTAGATATTCCAGCCAAGGCAAGATACCACGGCTGGAGACCTCCAGACTGCTTGGACGGTGGATTGCAAGCGGCATATTCTCCGTGCCAGCAATTACAAGGGCAAGCGCATTGACACGGGAGAGCAGCCTGTGCGGATACCATTCAACGGGCTCACATTCCCAGGCTACTTTCTGACAGCTCCTGGGGCCGCACAGATAGACTAAGAGGTCGGATTCTTTACTCCCTGCCAAGCACTCAGAGTCGATGTCTGGAGTGTATCCCCAGGTTGCTTCAGTGCTGCAAGTACGCAGCTGCAGCCCCAAGCATCAGAAGGCTGCGCTGGCAGCCATCAACATGGTCTGCTCTCACTGTCTCCCATCAAATCTGACCGTCGAGCTCCTGCCCCATGTGCCAGTCTGCAGCTTCAGTTGCAAGCAGTAATTAAGTTTCACAGCTGCCGCCATTCAGTCGCACAAAACCCTGTGGCCTTTCCTTCTCTAGGTACTTTGAAGATCGAGGACGGCGAAGTGAATCTGGAGGCTTGGGCGGCCACATTGGACTTCGTCGGCTGGAGTGAGAGGCCGCATAGCTCGAAGTCCTTTTGTCTGCGAGCACATGGCATGTGCCTCGAGATGCCAGGTGGAAGAGAACGAAAATTTTTACAAGCACACAGCAGAAGCTCCAGACAGGTCGGCCTGTGTCTGCTGTCCATGTTGCTTCTTACATATCTCGACCCCCAGAGGCATTCCGTTGTCCTCCGTGGCATGGTTCATCCTGCGGGGCGCACACGATGAGCTGGTGTGCCAGGAAGCTTGTTTTTTCGATTGAGTGCTTGAACAAGAGTCGTTTTCTTTTCAATAGAATGATAGATCTCAGATGTCTTTGTCAGGGCCGCTGCCGGAATGCTCGGCTGCAGAAGAGATTAATCCACATCTTGAGCCAGAAGGCCGAGATAACCACCCCGGCCAAGCTGATGCTAGTCATGCCGCCTCCCTCGCCTGGTGACGACTATCATCCGGCGCGACAGCAACTCCGAATAGCAGCCGAGTGTGGTCAATTTTCCTCATCCATCATCAGACCTGTCATGCCGTAAAAGACTTCCTCCGAGGGACGGGAGATCTCTGCGGATGGACATCAAGCCCAAGAATCTGGTTACAATGAACCGATGGCTGCACAAGGCTTCAGGAACCCTGGGTGGCACAGACGACACACTCGTCAGCCTCGGCTTGCAAGACGTGCTTCCTGCTCACGCGAATCGGCTTCCGAGATGCAGCTTGGCCTCTTTCTTCGTCTCAAGAGGCAGCCTTCTTCTAACTGAGGTTAGCCAGCGATTTTTTGTATCGCTACTGGCAGAAGTCTGCCAACGAGATCCGACAGGACCGGTAGATAAAGCAGCACCGAGCACATGGAAAGCACGATCAGTCTTTCTATCTTTCAGGACCTGGCCGCCCAGAAATTTCGCTCGATTCTGGTCATGGCAGACTCGAGCCCGAAAGGGACTTTGGATGCAGCTTGGCAGTCGTTGGCGACAAGTTGCCAAAATTGCCATCCATCCATTGCAAGTACGCCTGAGGTGTGGAGCGCCGTCGTCTATGCCGGTCGATGCGCAGCCAGCATGCCTTTGCAAAAGCTGGCTGACCTGCAGACCTCCA